AATGTAACCACATCTCAAGAAGCTCTCGACAATAGGACGTGCTTTAGTATATTAAATAATTACTCATGTGAATCAACACTACGTTGTGAGACTTTTGCATAAGCTTTTTTTTATTTTGACACTCGGTCAATTTGGACATGCATATACACACAGCCCCAACATGTTTAGAATTGGTGGTTAGGAGACAATCTATCCTTTTTCGGTCAGTCCTATGCCCACGTGGGCCGTACTATAAGATGCTGTATATATTTTAGATTAGCTCTACATCATATGGTACGTTGGTCACTTGGGACACAGCAATCATCAGGCACGTGGAGTGAGCGCGTAACAACCCCAACATCAGAATCGTGACGAATTACCCGTTTCAACAACCAATGTCCATGTTTCACCTGGAGCTAGGCCGGTCTCGCGACAGATCTGACGAAACCCACAAGTCCCACTTGATGGTGCCGCGATAGAGACAGTCGAAGGCCACTCTGGGCCTGGATAGATCAAAGTAGAGCACGGGGTTCAGAGGAGTGTCTGCCATTCTTGCACAGTGGCCAAACTGATGGATGCGGCTTGACCCCCAACTTGTATCTGAATAGACGATAGATGTACTGTAATGCGGCTTGGTAAATCGATCAGCTGGTGTGGAGGTGCTCATGTCAAAGTGAGTTCCTGCTGAAACGAGCATTGAGGTGGGGTGTTCATCTCCTGTTTACAGCCCCGCAGAGCCAGTGGTGAAACTCCCACGTTGTTATCGTGGGAATGGGTTTGCCAGAGACCAACCTCTGTTGGCTTTCCTACAAAGTGGTACTGGTGGATGAACGACCGATTAGAACCCAAACTAGAATTTTAACTCGCATTCCACCACGAACCCACGTGACCGGTATACTTAGTGGGAACGTGACAACCAACGTTGTGCAAACGTTCTCCGTGTGATTATTGGGTCGGCGCCGCTTACAGATGGGGGTCATTTAAACGCGGACACTGACTGGGAAGATGGAGACTTGCTTGGGGGAGGGACGCCGTCCAGCACGCGGCCGCTAACGCAACCGCGGTTGGGGAAAGCGCGCGTCTATAGAAACGAGAACCGACGTTGCAACCCGGCCGAGGTTGCTGACCGCAGGAAGCACGCGGCGGCGCTGATAAAGAGACTGCAGTCAACTCCGGCGTGTTCTCCGGAATAATTTACGACGAGGTGATGGTGGGTGTGCGCCTTATAATCCGGTGGTTTTGCATGTGTACGGCAAAGAGGTTTTTTTTAATGGAGTTTTTTTTGGGTTAGATCGCGTAAATAATAGAGGTTTTGGGGTTATTTACGCGATCTAACAAAAAAAAACAATCTTCTTATGGATGATTTTGGTTTCGAAAAGCTTACGTGTTGAACAGGTTTGTTGAAGTTTATTGACACCGGGCACACGTTTGGGGGTGCGTCATGCTTGCCGGAGCGTCTTATAATCCGGATAACTCGGTAGCCACGGCGGGGGTGGGGTGCAGTCACCATCGATTCGAATAACATAGATCCAATTAAGACGACAACACGCGTGAATGGAATCATTTGGATAAATATCCAAGTGGTTTTGGTACGTCGATTTGTATATACGCAATACACCTACATGATGCGTCGTGGGTTCGCGTGGTCCTCTGCAGCCACGAGATTTCGCTGTGCAGTATTCAGCAATGATTTTTTAAAATAAAAATATTCGATTCTTGACATGGACTCGCATCACCCCAATCGTGATTCGTTACATCCTCTCTTCTGATGGCATTTAAAAGACCGTCCCATTAATTTACAGACGTGTCGATCCACTGCTGGATGAGGGCTTCCCCACCGGGTGCGGCGTCGATCGTGAGGCTTCTTTGACCATACTTCACCGCGCTGGTCAGCCCGGGTTGGTAAAGGAACACGGTAGATTTGCCTTCATTGTTTTAACAATGTCAAGCGACGGAGACCTATTCGTCAGAGCAGACCGGGTCGTGGACAACATCTCATGGGCGCCCAGTGAAGGTGATTACCACCAACATTCACTCTGTCCGCGAACTCGCGCTACGTGACCAACGTGGTGAAGTGTGGTCAATCAACTTCTCACGACCCACGCGGCGTGGGGGAGGACTTCATACAGCAGTGGATTGGCAAAGGGCTGCGAAACTTCGTCATCCCCATTGTCACGAGTCAAAACTATGGGCCGATTTCGATCTACTGGGTTTCATGAGCAGAGATAGGCCCCGTCAAAACCAGTGGTCTGTGTTACGAAGTGTGAAAGGCACGTGGCCTTTGTCTTATAGGGGGCTGTCCATAAATGACGTCAGGCACCTGGGTGTGGGGGGGGTCAGACATTTGTGACGATGTGTGACGAGGGGGGGGGGGGGTTGAGAAATGTGACGTTACATCAAAATGCGCAACTTTAAATAAATATAGACAACACGTTCTACTTAATTAAATAGACTTTTTAATAAATGTTTTCTCCTACAACATCAGAGTGCAGCGCCACATTAAATACGCACTACAATGACAATAGTTTAAAGCGATTTGAAGCATGTGTTTTTTTTTTGGGGGGGGGGGCAGAGCTATGTGACGTCATATTTGAGGGGGGGGGTCTGACTTTTTGTGACGCCGTGTGACGACTGTGGGGGGGGGGGGATCAAAAATCATCCAAAATCGCGTGACGTCATTTATGGACGACCCCTTAGGAGGTGTGAAAGGCACGGGTCCTTTGTCTTATAGGCAGCAGGCCGTGAGAGGTCCTGGGATAAATCCGCGAAGTTCTGCAACTATAATAATTATAAGTTGTGCAGCGTTGACCAATGAGTTTGGGTCCGTGCAGAACATTTACTCTTTTAACTCAAACGCCGGGGAGATTAATGGTTAACCAGGATGTGTTCGACAAGACCCCCGCATGTTGACTCGGCTTTCAGCAGGTGCACAGGTGAGTGGCAAGGGTCGCGGTTTAAGGGTGGGCGACTCGCGAGGTCTCCACTCGGCACGGACGCCTTCCCACAAAGAGCTCGCCTCCTTCACATGCCACAAACAAAGATAAAACAAAGATCCCCCATATAGCCTTAACAGACTGTAGGGGCAAGTGCTGTTAGCGAGCACCTATGAAGGCCGGAACAGTACACGAGGGGGTGGGTGGCCAGCACCACCGCACCAGGTACTCATTTGAGGCTGAGTCGACCTAGGGGAGGCCTGGGACCGGTTCAGATAATCGTCACTGGTGTTGGCCGTGAGCGGGAATCGAACCCGGGTCGCCAGGTTCATAGCGCAGCGCGCTAACCGCTACACTATCGCTCCCCACACGCACACCTCACCACCTGCACCTCCCACACAGACCTCACCACCTGCCTTGTGAACCTCACCACGTGCCTTGTGAACCTCACCACGTGCCCTGTGAACCTCACCACCTGCCTTGTGAACCTCACCACGTGCCTTGTGAACCTCACCACGTGCCCTGTGAACCTCACCACGTGCCTTGTGAACCTCACCACCTGCCTTGTGAACCTCACCACGTGCCCTGTGAACCTCACCACCTGCCTTGTGAACCTCACCACGTGCCCTGTGAACCTCACCACCTGCCTTGTGAACCTCACCACGTGCCTTGTGAACCTCACCACGTGCCCTGTGAACCTCACCACCTGCCTTGTGAACCTCACCACGTGCCTTGTGAACCTCACCACGTGCCTTGTGAACCTCACCACGTGCCCTGTGAACCTCACCACGTGCCTTGTGAACCTCACCACCAGCCTTGTGAACCTCACCACGTGCCTTGTGAACCTCACCACGTGCCCTGTGAACCTCAGCACGTGCCTTGTGAACCTCACCACCTGCCTTGTGAACCTCACCACCTGCCTTGTGAACCTCACCACGTGCCTTGTGAACCTCACCACCTGCCTTGTGAACCTCACCACCTGCACCTGCCTTGTGAACCTCACCACCTGCTAAACAGACTACACCTCCCACCACCCCATCTACTCCTCACCTCCACAAATACCAATAACCCCGCTGTTCGCCACAAAGTGACGGTTATGTGACGGTGACGCCCCCCCCAAACAGAATATATCCCGCCCACTCCTACACAAGGCCCCACCCACTCCTACACAAGGCTCCGCGCCACTCCCCGCACATGATCCGCCCACTCATACACACGGCCCCGCCCACTCCCGCAGATGGCCCCGCCCACTCCTACATGCGGCCCCCGCCCATTCACGCCCGCGGCCCTGCCCATTTCTGCACATGGCCCCGCCCACTCCTGCTAATGACGCGGCACACTCATACACATGGCCCCGCCCACCACTACAAATGGCCCTGCCAACTCCTGTACTTAAACCCGCCCATTCCCAGACATGACCCCGCCCACTCCTGTACTTGACTCATACCCCACTCCAGCACTGGCCCCGCCCACTCCTACATACGACCCCGCCCAACTGCTACATGCGGCCCCGCCCACTCCTGCACGTGGCCCCGCCCTCCCTTACACATGGCCTCGCCCACTTCCACACATGGCCCTGCCCACTCATGTATTTGACCCCACCCGTTCCCAGATATGACCACGCCCATTCCCAGCCATGACCCCGACCACTCCTGCACTTGGCTCCCGCCCACTCCAGCACTGGCCCCGCCCACCCCTACACACGGCCCCGCCAACTCTGGCACTCGACCAGCCCATTCCTGCACTCGACCGCGCCCACTCCCACACATGGCCCCGCCCACTCCCGCACAGGCCCCGCCCACCCCCGCACATGTTCGAACTCACCGTCCACACCTGCCCCGAGCCTCGTTCCCGCCCACTCCGCTTCTCCGTGCGCACATTTATTTAGACTTCTTATCTCGCCCATTACGAACTTCTCGCACTCAAAATACAAATTCCTTCACCCACACACCCGTCACCCACTGCACCGTTACTGACAAAGACAACTTACGCACTTTACCATTCACCGATTCACACTCACCCTCCTCTCTCGAGCTCACGCAAACACTCACTCACCCACACTCACCCAAACACTCACCCTTACATTCACTCGCTGTCGCTCTCTCTCTCACCCACCCACGCGTGGCACAACCACAACCACCACCACTTCCTCCTCCTCCCCGTCCCGGCCCGAGAGGAGATGCTGTGGGGTCGCGACCTCACCCCTCGCCTCACTCACCGCGTGCCTCCTCAGTGAGAGGCGGTGGTGGTGGTGGTGAGGACGCGATGTCAGCACGGGGCATCGCCTCACCAACGTCGCCCGCCTCTCCCTCACCGCTCCTCGCCAACGAGGGCGACGATTGGGACCCCGAGTGTGACGACGAGGCGGTCCTCCTCGATCAGGACGAGCGCGGGGCCCCGGGAGGTGGCAATGGAGGAGGCGCGGGGGGAGATGGACGCGGCGGCGGCGGGTTTGGCCGTGCGCTCTGCCGCTTGCAAAGCGCCACCGCGACCGACCTTGACCCAGGGGACTCGGGGTCCCTGGGGTACACGGAGGACCCCGTGGACTTCACCGAACCGCGGGGGAACTCCCTCGGGACCCGCGCGTGGGCCACCGTGGGGGTCCTCTTCTTCATCAACCTCCTCAACTACATGGACAGGTTCACCGTGTCCGGTGAGACGTGGCACCGAAGCTCACGGACACGCCTGTAGTCACTCGGGACGCCGCTTTAGGTACTCGACAACACGGCACGATTTCACGTCTCACTGCGAGGTTTTGTTTTGAATCACCGCAAGGCGGCGGGTTTGTGGTAGTGGTGGTGGTAGTTCAAGTTTCATTCATTAGGTAGAGCCCTGTGAGCCATGCGGCTCTTGAGTCGGGTGCAGCCGCAACAAACACAATATGAACAGAGAAACATCTTAAAGCGACGAGGCGCAACAGAAACATCCTGGGATAAACCAGCAAATGTTCCAGAAACCCCCCCCCCACACACCGTATTACAACGCTGTGTGCAAAAATCCCAGTGTGATGCAAGGCCAACGATATCAACCATAAGACACCATTGGAAACTCCTTTGCCAGTAGCAGAATATCATTGTTTTTTTTGCAGAGTCCATCGGCGTAAGGCACCGACTGTAGCGAGGGTACAAAAGTTCGCACGTTCCTCATGGTCCTATGTACATTGTGCCACCCTGTGTGTGTGTTACACAGTGATCCCATTGCACATCGTCACACTCACCACCGCCACCACAACACCGTGTAGATGACAATAATAAGGGGTCGAGATGGGTTGTGGCGTGGCCAAAACAATGACCAGCAGCAACTTTCAGGACTGTTACCACACATTTAGCGGCTATGTCTGCAGCCTTACGACCGATTTGCCGAATCCACTGCTGGATGACGGCCTCCCGAAGCCGTGTTGCGGATCGTGGAGCGGTTATTTGACCACACTTCACCGCCCTGGTCGGTGCGGTGTCGTGAAGCTTCGTCTATATATGGGGAGGTACAGTATATATGACATTTAGACTGCACGCAGGTAAGCTCAACAGGTTGAGGCCGGCAGTGCATTTTGCAAGATACCAAGATTGACTTCGATAGGGGTGTTTGTCCGTGTTTGTCTCTGTGTGCGTATTTTGTGGGGAGCGGTGGTGCAGCGGTTAGGGCACTGCCCTACGAAACCGGCTGACTCGAGTTCGATTCCCGCTCACGGCCAACGCCAGTGACGAATATCTGAGCTGGTCCTGGGTCGCCTCAGCCTCAAATGAGTACCTGGTGCGGTGTGTAAACATCGCCACTGGGAAGACAAAGGCGGCCGGGCGTGGTGCTGGTCACCCACCCCCTCGCGTGCAGTGCTACCATTCAAAGGTGCTCGCTAACAGCACTTGCACTAACAGTCTGTTAAGGCTATATGGGGGATATTCGTCTTTGTTTGTATTATGTGTGTTCATGGATAACAATGTTGTGTATTTGTATCGTGTAATTCATTAGAATCTGTAACACGCAGTTTTCGCACGTGGGGGTGCGGAGGGTAACAACTGGCGAGCGGGAAGACGGCCGCAATCGGCGCTATCGACAATTTCCCAAGCTCTGCGATCCTATATTGTGATGTTTGGCCGCCTCCATTAATTAGTGTTCCTACACGGTGGCCTTAAACACGTGTAAGCCAACAATACGCCTCCTTCCCGTATTTGTGCGTCTCCACATGCGAGATAACAGTATTTTGACACGACCCTTCGGCCACACACACTCCTTTTGGGTAGTATTGGCTCAATGGAAGCAAAATTCTGCACGGGTTTGGACATTCATCGGCTCGTCGGCAGAGTAAGGTGCACTTAAACCTATACTGCTAGATGTTTATAGATTTGTAGGCAAAGACCCTCCCTTACTGTGATATATGAGTTCCTAAGTTAGTCCATAGAGACCAGAAGTCTCTTTTTAATTGGAGGCGTGGGGTTGAAAGTTGCATGGCAACACGACGCTCGACCCCCTCTTTTGTCGTGGAGATGCGGGGATGCGAGCCAAGGCCTCGCCGTCGTGTGGACTCTTACGGCACTGGGCCCGGTTGATGTTACTCGTGCAGAATGTTCCTATACATCGCCTGCCATGATCGCCGCCATCACCAGCGGTGACGGGGACACAAACATTCACGAGATGTTCTCGGGTGATACCGCATGGTGTTCGGCATGATGTCCGACGTCTCGCGCCCCACTTGGGTGGCAGGCTAGCACAGTGGTAACACGTGTGCCTCACAACAACAATAACCTGGACTCGGGCGCCTTTCTGTGTAGAATTTGAATTGTTATCGCGCTGTTCTGCATGGGTTCCCTCTCATAGCTGGCGTTTGTTAATCATCCCAAAGCAGAACCCTCCTGGGGAAAAAAAAAAAGAGTCTTCGGACCCATGGACCAATAGGTGATTGTCCTGACGTCGAACTGGGTGGGAGTTGTAGTTCCAGAAGAACAGAAGCGTCTCACTCTGCCTTCGCCCTCCACTTCATGAAGAAGGGTGATGTCCGCATTGCACGGAATGACGCGCGGTACAACCCGAAAGCGCATCGCAGAGCAACGCGGCACAACTGCGGATACTCGCGCAGTGGTGATCACATGGACACATCTTGACGAGTGGCCGATTGTGACCCATGGCCACATCTTGACAAATTGGCCAGATTACATGGTAGGGCCTAATCGATTGTACATGTTAATGAGACCCTGCATCTTTTGACTAATGAATGCGAGCCCCATGTGGTGATGGTGGTGGCGATGACGATGGTCGTTGTGGTAATGGTCACGATGTTGATAATGGTGATGCTGGTGGTGATTATGATCAGTTTAACACGTAGGCTTTCGCACCTGAATGAGTTAAATGATGACGTCACCCTGCTGCTCTATTTAAGACCGGGAGCAGGTGAGGGCTTTACCATTCTGGCGAATTGCCCGATGATGCTGGATGTAATTACCAGCGAAACGTCGTATTCAAACTGTAAATGTTGTGGATTCACTCTTCAACATACCGGTGGGCTAAAGTAGTGAACTAATTGTCTTTTGTCAAGGTGACACTTTTTTTTGCTGATTAGCCGTGTCGGGTGGTGGAGGGTTACGACACTTATGAATAACGCGATCTAACCAAAAACCTTTATTATGAAGGTGATTATGATGATGGTAATTATAGTGGTGATGATTGCGATGGTGTTGATAATGGTGATGTTAATACATGTAAAGTTGATGATGGCGAAAATGATGCCGGTGATGGTGGTGATAATGTCTGTGGTGTCCCCTCCCCCGTCTCTCTCATGCCATCACAGGAGTGCTCGCTGAAATCCAGACCTTCTTCAACATCGACAACAGCCTGTCTGGGCTTATACCGGCTGGTGAGCCACTCACCGCATGATTATCCGGATTTGCGAAGGTGGTGAGGGGGTGGGTGAGAAATGGTGAGGGGGTGGACGTGGTGCTTTTGTCTCGCGCAAATGAGGCTCTGCCCTGGTCCTCTGAGTTCTCACCTGGTTCAATAAACGAACCTCGTAACTTGATGGCGGGTGCCCCGTGATGATGGTAACGATGATGCTGTGATGATGGCGATGCTGACGTGTGGCGCTAACCGCTGCCATCCACGTGTTCTCACCTGCTCCTGGCGTGCGCCGTGTGTGTGCGTGTGTGTGTTCGTGCGTGTGCAGTGTTCCTGTGCAGCTACATGATTCTTGCTCTGCTCTTCGGATTCCTGGGCGACCGCTACCCACGCAAGTTCATAATGGCCGCCAGCATCCTCGTGTGGAGCGGCACCACGCTGGGGGGCTCCTTCGTCCGGGAAAAGGTGAGCATCCCCTCCTCCCCCCCACCAAACCAACCCCAGCTCCCCCTACTTCTCACCGCGTAACGTGTGTTTCTGCGGGTCCCTCCCCACAATTCACTCGGAACCCCCTGAGAAAGCCAGGCCCCCTCCTGTGCGGAACCAAACGTCACGGGAAGTGATCTCAGGGGTAGCTCTGTGGTGTCCGCTTCCGCGGGTCGTTCTCTTGACAGGAAGGGTTGCACTGCTCTTATGCCGTGGCACAAGACGCTGACAGCATCATCAGGATACAACTCTTGGAAAGGACAAAAAATAATATAATGGAGAATTTGGCTCCCCTAGGGAAGCCATCGTGAAAGTTCTACCCCCCCCCGCCACGCCCCGCCACCACCTCTGCCAAGTGGTGACACTGTCTGTCTTCCACCCTCCTGAAATATCTTCACCCCACCCCCCCTTAAAAGGAGTTTCCAGACAATGCATCATCCGGCAGTCACCCGTTAAAGAGTCCCCAGCATTGAGTAAGCAGTGTGCATGTATCAATCCACTGCTGGCTGAGGGTTTCCCAACGCCATACTGTATTGTTGTACCGTACAAAAACCCCCACGTCGAGGCTCCTTGCTCTTCATCAATGCGCACTGACCAGGTGGTGACGTTTTGTCAATCTAGCCGCGTGACCTGCATGGTTGTGGATTTAAAAATTATAGACGTATCACCTCGCTCCAGGTCTCACTGCTCCCTCCGCTGGTTCCCCTGGCCTGCCCCCCCTGCCCCCCCCGCCCCCCCCGTGGGATTGTCAGGAGTTTACGGGGTTCCTGGTGTCGCGCGCCCTGGTTGGGGTGGGTGAGGCCGGCTACTCGACCGTGGCAGCGACGATCCTGGGAGACCTCTTCGTGGGCTCGACTCGCACGCGTGTCCTCGCGCTCTACTACAGCGCCATCCCCATCGGCAGGTGAGCGGGCGAGCGAGCGAGCGGGTGGGCGAGCGAGCGGGTGGGTGAGTTAGTGGGTGGGCGTGTGAGCACGAGCGCGTGCGTGTGGTTGGACGGGCAAATCGTTAACTGCGACTAATTAATATTAATTGCAAGCACTCGCGATACATTTACTCTTGCCTCTTGCCCCACCCTTGCACCCCCCTCCACCACCGCCACCATCCTGCCGCTTCCCAGTGGCCTCGGCTACATCGTGGGGTCAAAGATCGCCGAGGTGACGGGAGACTGGAGAAATGCTCTCAGGGTGAGGAGGCTCGTGCACACAACACAGTCTTGGTTAGGATTAGGGCTACAATACAACCAGGTTAAGGGCTAAGAATACGGTTAACCGCTGTGTATCCATATTGCTGTTTAACCGTGCTTGTGACCAGCGTGGTGAAGTATGGTCAAACAACCCCCAGTACTGACATGGCATGGGAAGGCCTTCATCCAGCAGTATTGATAACACTGGATATATTTGTTCATTAACCGTATTTGTCATGTACCATTGACTTTCACGGCTCTCGTAACCCTGTGATCCATGACCTTTGGCCATGACCCCTGTATCTTAACCATGACCTGGGTTATACCTTGGCCATGACCCTCCAATTTTATCCATGACCCCAGGGTGTACCTTAACCGTGACCCCCCTGGCCCCTGACTGTGGTGTTTGTGTGTGTGTGGACGGTGACCGTGACCCCCGGTAGGTGACCCCTGGGCTGGGGCTCCTGGCCTGCGTGCTCGTGGTGCTCGTGGTGGTGGAGCCGGAGCGGGGGGCGGTGGAGCGGCACAGCTCGGGGGGAGGCGGCCCGGCATCCAGACCCCGCACCACGTGGTTCACGGACGTGCGCATGCTGTGCTCCAAGTGCGACGCTGCAGCAGCTGTGCCGCACTTGCACCCCCACCACACACCCGCGTCAGAACACCACCCTGTGTGTCAAGAGCACACCCGTGCCTCATGTGCCCTGGCTCGGCCCGTCCTCCTCTGCCGCCTCCGCCGTTACTGACTCCTCAAACTCTCCCTTTGTCTGGCGCCTTGAGGTGTGATGCATGGGATGCGCGGTATAAATAACGATGACGATGGCAATGATGATGGCGATGGCTGTGAAGATTACGATCATGACAACGACGACAATGACTGCTAGAAATGAAGACTACGGTGATGATTGCGATGACCCCACGACTATGACGATGTCGACGACTCTGTGCGCTCTCAGCCGCAGCCTCGTGCTGTCGAGCCTGGGCTTCACGTGCGTGTCGTTCGTGTCGGGGGCGCTCGCGCTCTGGTCGCCGCTCTACCTGGAGCTGGCGGGCGTCGTGCGCGGCTCCCTGCAGCCGTGCGAGCACCAGCCCTGCCCCGGCTTCAGCAGGTGACGCTCGCGGGCTCACGGCTACGTTCCGGCCTCGGATTGTCCCCCCCCGTCCTGGTTTTCCCCGGGATCGTCCTCTGTGTTTGGTAGCTGGTCCCATAAGTCATTTCTCCCATGGGATGACAAAAAGCCCTGGGTTTTGTTACCATCATCATCATCATCGCCACCACCACCACCATCATCATCATTATGATGATGATCGTCACCACTCAAGACGAAGCATCCACATGCGGTGGTGATACTGGATTCAGCATGCAGGGTTCCGTTTCACTTGCCCCACTACATCCAGCACACCTCTCGTTATGGCTGCTAGTCAGGTGACACCTATTCTTGCCTACCAGCGACCCGGAAAATATTCAGTGAGCAAGTAAGCTCGACTCGCATATGCTCACCTGCCTCATCCCTCTCATCACCCTGCCACCGCCCTCTCACCATCTCACTCGATCCTCTCACCCCCTATAACTTCACTCACCACCCACTCACCCCATCTCACACCTGTGAAATAAATTTCCAGCGACCTGCGAAAAACATATTTGGTCGTACAAAATGAAGCCCTGGTGGTGATGATACTAGGCACCTAACATTTGCTCTCACCCCTCATACCCCTCTCTCGCCTCTCTCACCTCCCGCCGGCAGCGTGAGCATGGTGTTTGGGGCGCTCACGTGCAGCGCCGGGCTGGCCGGCGTGGCGCTGGGCAGCGAGGCCGCGCGGCGCTGGCGGCGGTGCGAGCCGAGCGCCGAGCCCCTGGTGTGTGGCCTGGGCCTCCTCGCCTCCGGGCCCTTCCTCTACGCCGCCCTGCTGCTGGCCAAGAGCTCCCCCGTCACCACCTACGTGAGCTTGGGAGGGGGGGGGGGGGGCGTGCGGTGGTGGGGGTCAGGTGGGTGAGAGGGAGAGGAGGAGGTGGGTGGGCGCGGCGGCGACGATTTGTCGAGGGAGGTCATCTTTCGTAAGATGAGAAGGAATGGAGGAATGCAGCCTGCAGTGGAATGGCCAGATGCCCATGACGGGAGAATGCCACCAAACAGGAATCCAGCAAAGACGATGTTGCCGCGAGGGACAGAGGAAGAGCTCCACCCCATGATCACTTTTGTGAATTTGGGGGGACGAGGTGTGAGCAGGCTGGTTTATTCAAGAATACTTTTGCTGTACTGCCATATAGCACGTCGTGGCTTTTGCAGTTTGAAATTGATTTGTTTAATCAGCTGAGAACTCAAGAGGGCAGATATCAAGGAGTCTGATTTACTAGAGTGACCTGGGCCACCACACTGACGAAATCTAAATAAAGTACAGCCATTAGGTAACTAGCTATTGGAACAAGAAAAAAAACCTAAAATAAATTGTCATCAAATATTCTGTATTGCGTATGGCAGTATGTTCAGGAGCTAAATGCCAATGAGGCTGCCCTCACACTACTCTTTGGTTTTTTCGGAAAAGTCACGTAGGTAAAATAAAATGAATTAAAATAAAATGAATTAAAATAAAAGAAAACAATTAAATCACGACGTTTCGGAGGCAACACAAGCTTCCGTCTTCAGGTGGAACAGTCACAGCAAGATCGCTGCATCAAGTGGGGAGGCTCTGAGAGCCTCGAGCTTAAATACAGATTAAGGGGGGGGGGGAGGAGCCAAGTAGGGCACATTGATGTAGTGCGGAGCTAAGTTAATCCGTCTTTTGTTATGTTGAGGGTGCGGGGGATGCAGTGGGTCACTGCACGGGGGCAATGGAAAAATTGAAACAAAAATGGAAAAGTTCGGAAAGAATATGCTGCGTGCTTATAAGGTTGCTAAAGTTTTGACTTGGTTTATGACATCTTTCCAGTGGTTGCTTAATTGAAAACCATCCTCTCGGTTGAAGTTGTGTCTATGTTTGTATATCTGGATGGCTTCATGGACAAATCTTTGGTAATAACCGGGAGGTTTGCATAGTACTTTGGTATGGTAGAAAACAATGTCATGAGAACCCGCTGTATTGAGACAATGATCAGCTACGGCCAACGAATTCGTTCTGCCGTGCTTCAAATCTGATTTGTGCTCGCGAATTCGGTCATACTAATTAATTATTATTAATCAGGTGCCAATGCTGGCGATGGGCCACAGGGAGAGGCGGCCTGTCTGTGCCCTCTGCTCCCCCTCCCTCATCCACCTCGTCGTCGTTTCAGGTGTTCATCTTTCTCGGAGAGGTGCTCCTCTTCTTGAACTGGGCCCTCATTGCCGACATTTTGCTGGTGAGCACGGTGATGATGTCGGCGGCACCGCCGCCGTCTCACAGCGCATGCCCGCGATACACGCCGCGTCCGAGGATGACCACGGCGATGACTATGACGATAACGACCATGATGACCACGGCGATGACTACGACGATAACGACCATGATGACCACGACCATGATGACCATGGCGATGACCACGACGATAACGACCATGATGACCACGACCATGATGATTACGGCGATGACCACGACGATAACGACCATGATGACCACGGCGATGACCACGACGATAACGACCATGATGACCACGACCATGATGACCACGGCGATGACTACGATGATGACCAAGGCGATGACCACGACGATAACGACCATGATGACCACGACGATGACCACGGCGATGACTACGATGATGACCAAGGCGATGACCACGACGATGATGACAATGATGATGATGATGACTCCTCTTTGGTTCTTTCGGTAAAGTCACGTAGAATGAAAATAAAATGATAAAATAAAATAACACAATAAAATTCTCCCGACGTTTCGGCCACAACACAAGTGGCCTTCATCAGGTGAAGGGACTGGACTGTCCAGAGGACAGTGTTGGAGTGGAGACAGCCAAGCCCAGGTCGCGTCCTTTAAGCTGTGTGGGAGGAAGCAAAAAACGCCTTGACAAAGGAATTAGTATAAAATTATGTACTGGACCGGCACGGTGGGGGTGGGGGGGGAAAGAGTTTACATAATGTTGGTGTGAAGGGAAATAAGTGGCTGTGAAAGTTTGGGATACCACTACTTGAAAAAATATACTGTACCATTGAAAATTAGTTTAATGTTTGGTTTGATTTAGAACATCTTTCCAATGAATACTTAATTTGAAACCATCCTCTCGGTTGAAATTGTGTCTGTGTTTGTAAATCTGAATTGCCTCGTGGACAAATCTCTGATAAAAAAACCCGTGGGTTTGCAGAGAACCTTGGTATTGGAGAAAACTATATCGTGATCACCCACAGCGTTGTAACAGCTATGTAACAGCTATTAACAGTAACTAGGTATACACTACACTATATAATGAATACCATATAGTAAACCATTAAAAAACTAAAATATAAACTACCTCAATGTTATTAATAAACTCTATATATTCTCTAATCAGCTAAGCTACCAACAATAAGTCGTTATATATCACAATGCTATATGGCGAAAAAATGGGTGGATTCTTACCCTCAACTTTAGCACCACGGATAGCTACGAGTCCCGTTCAGACAGACGCGGTTATCCATGGTCGGAACGGAGGACGGGGAGAGAGACAGCTGCGAGGCGCTGTTATACTCCATGTTGTAAACCATACCATTAACCATGGTGTGAGAGGTATTAAGAGTCAATGCCAGCGAAAGAGCTGCGGTCTGAAGGTCATTGTAAAATACAATTAATTAAGAACCGAAATGGTTTAAAACATCTTTCCAATGGTTACTAGGCCAGAATCTATCTTCTCGGTTGAAATTGTCTCTGTGCTTGTATATGTGAATTGCCTAATGAACGAATCTCTCATGGTAGCTGGTTGGTTTGCAAAGAACCTCCGTCTTGGAGAAGTCAATGTCATGTGAGCCCACTGAATTATAACAGTGATCTGCCACGGCAGAGGAGTTCGTTCTACCGTGTTTCAAGTCTGCTTTATGTTCGCGGATGCGGTCCGAGATATGTCGTTTGGTTTCTCCAATGTAGCTACTACCACAGAGGCACTTTAGTTTGTAAACGCCCGGGTACTGTATGTCTGGAACAGCATCTTCTAAAGATGGAACCAGATCACGGATTTTATGTACTGTGTTGAATCGGACCTGGATCTTGTGTTTATTCAGGATTTTGGAGATCTTTTTAGTGACCCCTGCAATGTAGGGTAAGGTGATGGTTTTGAGTGGCTCCACAAGAGGATCCTTCTTCATGACTGGAGTGATGGCTTTGCGGATTGTGTAGTCGGAGTAACCATTAGCCCTGAGAGCCTGGTGTACGTGCTTGAGTTCACTGGTAATGTGTTCCTGGTCGGAAATGCATTGGGCTCTATGGTATAGAGTCTTGATGAGGGAGTTCTTCTGGGATGGATGGTGGTGGGAATCCGGTTTCAAGTAAGCATCTGTATGGGTAGCTTTCCTGTAGACAGAGTGGCTCATTGAACCATCATGTCTCCTTTTAATTAAGACATCCAAAAAGGGTAGTTTGCCATCTTTTTCGACCTCCATGGTAAATCTGATGGCTGGGTGTATGGAATTGATGTGGTCGCGGAATTGGTCTAGAGCAGGCTGGCCATGTGGCCAGATGACAAAAGTGTCATCCACGTACCTCTTCCATAAGGTCGGGCGTAGAGTGGCAGTCTGGATGGCGTCAGTTTCAAATTTTTCCATGTATACGTTGGCTACAACCGGAGATAGGGGGGAGCCCATTGGGGTGCCCTCAGTTTGTTTGTAGTAAGTTCCATTCCAGGTGAAGTATGTGTTGGTTAAGCAATGTCTCACCAGGGGGGGGTACATCAGTATGCAGTCCTTGATGAACCAGGGCTTCAATGATAGCGATGGTGTCAGGTTCCGGGACTTTGGGGAACAAGGACACCACATCAAAACTGACAAGCAGGTCGTCTGGGGACAGGGAAATGTCTTTGATTGTCGATACCAGGTGAGTAGAATTTAGTACCGTAGAGGTGTTTTTTTCCAGTGAAAGGTCGCAGTTTATCAGCAAGAAAACGTGCCAGTTTATAGGTGGGGGAGTTGATAGTAGAGACGATGAGACAAAGGGGTGTATCTTCTTTGTGTATCTTTGGAAGGCCATATAATCTTGGTGGTCTGGCAGGAGAGGGTTTCAACGAGAACTGTTTGGTCTGATCAATTAATGCTGTTGAATCAGAAATGATTTTGTTCGTTTTGGTAACCAGGCTGTTGGTGGGATCTCTTTTTATTTTTGTATAGCTGCCCTCGTTGAGTAGTTCTTGAATTTTGTTGTTATATTCTGTTTTGTCGATGATGACAGTGGCATTGCCCTTGTCGGCTGAGAGGACGACAATATCATCTCTCTTTTTTAATTGAGATAATTCAAAGCGTTCATCTTTGCTGATGTTGCTAGGTGGCAACTTAGCATTTTTTAGGGTTGCAGCGATTTCAGATCTTGCTACGTCTGCAGAGATGTGACTCAAGCCCTTGAGTGCAACGTCGACATGGGCAATGATATCATTAATCGGTATGTGTCTCGGTGTGACAGCAAAGTTTAGACCTTTAGCTAAATCGGATTTCAGACCATCAGAAATGGAACTGTTACTGCGATTAATTACGACTTTGTTGACGTCTATCTTTTCGGTGTTGTGGATCCGATTTTTTGTTGGAGAGGTGATTGAATTTGGAAATCAAATTGTCCCTACATTTGGTCGACATAGTGGCAGCCGAAGAGGTAGTCATATTGTCTACATGTTCCCAATCCGATGTAGACATTGTTGCTGTCAATGTTACAAATCACACTTAACATTGACAGCAACAATGTCTACATCGGATTGGGAACATGTAGACAATATGACTACCTCTTCGGCTGCCACTATGTCGACCAAATGTAGGGACAATTTGATTTGCAAATTCAATCACCTCTCCAACAAAAAATCGGATCCACACACCGAAAAGATAGACGTCAACAAAGTCGTAATTAATCGCAGTAACAGTTCCATTTCTGATGGTCTGAAATCCGTTTAAGCTAAAGGTCTAAACTTTGCTGTCACACCGAGACACATACCGGTTAATGATATCATTGCCCATGTCGACGTTGCACTCAAGGGCTTGAATCACATCTCTGCAGACGTAGCAAGATCTGAAATCGCTGCAACCCTCAAAAACGCTAAGTTGCCACCTAGCAACATCAGCAAAGATGAACGCTTTGAATTATCTCAATTAAAAAAGAGAGATGATATTGTCGTCCTCTCAGCTGACAAGGGCAATGCCACTGTCATCATGGATAAAACAGAATATAACAACAAAATTCAAGAACTACTCAACGATGGTAGCTATACAAAAATAAAAAGAGATCCCACCAACAGCCTGGTTACCAAAACGAACAAAATCATTTCTGATTCAACGGCATTAATTGATCAGACCAAACAGTTCTCGTTGAAACCCTCTGCTGCCAGACCACCAAGATTATATGGCCTTCCAAAGATACACAAAGAAGATACACCCCTTCGTCCCATCGTCTCTACTATCAACTCCCCCACCCATAAACTGGCACGTTTTCTTGCTAATGTACTGCGACCTTTCACTGGAAAAACCACCTCTGCGGTACTAAATTCTACTCACCTGGTATCAACAATCAAAGGCATTTCCCTGTCCCCAGACGGACCTGCTTGTCAGTTTTGATGTGGTGTCCTTGTTCCCCAAAGTCCCGGAACCTGACACCATCGCTATCATTGAAGACCTGGTTCATCAAGGACTGCATACTGATGTACCCCCCCTGGTGAGACATTGCTTAACCAACACATACTTCACCTGGAATGGAACTTTCTACAAACAAACTGAGGGTACCCCAATGGGCTCCCCCCTATCTCCGGTTGTAGCCAACATATTTATGGAAAAATTTGATACTGACGCCATCCAGACTGCCACTCTACGCCCGACCTTATGGAAGAGGTACGTGGATGACACTTTTGTCATCTGGCCACATGGCTAGCCTGCTCTAGACCAATTCCGCGACCACATCAATTCCATACACCCAGCCATCAGATTTACCATGGAGGTCGAAAAAGATGGCAAACTACCCTTTTTGGATGTCTTAATTAAAAGGAGACATGATGGTTCAATGAGCCACTCTGTCTACAGGAAAGCTACCCATACAGATGCTTACTTGAAACCGGATTCCCACCACCATCCATCCCAGAAGAACTCCCTCATCAAGACTCTATACCATAGAGCCCAATGCATTTCCGACCAGGAACACATTACCAGTGAACTCAAGCACGTACACCAGGCTCTCAGGGCTAATGGTTACTCCGACTACACAATCCGCAAAGCCATCACTCCAGTCATGAAGAAGGATCCTCTTGTGGAGCCACTCAAAACCATCACCTTACCCTACATTGCAGGGGTCACTAAAAAGATCTCCAAATCCTGAATAAACACAAGATCCAGGTCCGATTCAACACAGTACATAAAATCCGTGATCTGGTTCCATCTGTAAAAGATGCTGTTCCAGACATACAGTACCCGGGCGTTTACAAACTAAAGTGCCTCTGTGGTAGTAGCTACATTGGAGAAACCAAGCGACATATCTCGGACCGCATCCGCGAACATAAATCAGACTTGAAACACGGTAGAACGAACTCCTCTGCCGTGGCAGATCACTGTTATAATTCAGTGGGCTCACATGACATTGACTTCTCCAAGACGGAGGTTCTTTGCAAACCAACCGGCTACCATGAGAGATTCGTTCATGAGGCAATTCACATATACAAGCACAGAGACAATTTCAACAGAGAAGATGGATTTTGGCTTAGTAACCATTGGAAAGATGTTTTAAACGATTTCGGTTCTTAATTAATTGTATTTTACGATAACCTTCAGACCGCAGCTCTTTCGCTGGCATTGACTCTTAATACCTCTCACACCATGGTTAATGGTATGGTTTACAACATGGAGTATAACAGCGCCTCGCAGCTGTCTCTCTCCCCCTCCTCAGTTCCGACCATGGATGCCCTCGTCTGTCTGAATGGGACTCGTAGCTATCCGTGGTGCTAAAGTTGAGGGTAAGAATCCACCCATTTTTTCGCCATATAGCATTGTGATATATAACGACTTATTGTTGGTAGCTTAGCTGATTGGAGAATATATAGAGTTTATTGATAACATTGAGGTAGTTTATATTTTAGTTTTTTTATTGGTTTACTATATGGTATTCATTATATAGTGTAGTGTATACTCAGTTACTGTTAATAGCTGTTACATAGCTGTTACAACGCTGTGGGTGATCACGATATAGTTTTCTCCAATACCAAGGTTCTCTGCAAACCCACGGGTTTTTTTATCAGAGATTTGTCCATGAGGCAATTCAGATTTACAAACACGGACACAATTTCAACCTAGAGGATGGTTTCACATTAAGCATTCATTGGAAAGATGTTCTAAATCAAACCAAACATTAAACTAATTTTCAATGGTACAGTATATTTTTTCAAGTAGTGGTATCCCAAACTTTCACAGCCACTTATTTCCCTTCACACCAACATTATGTAAACTCCTTCCCCCCCCCACCCCCACCGTGCCAGTCCAGTACATCATTTTATGCGAATTCCTTTGTGAAGGCGTTTTTTGTTTCCTCCCACACAGCTTAAAGGACGCGACCTGGGCTTGGCTGTCTTCACTCCAACGCTGTCCTCTGGACAGTCCAGTCCCTTCACCTGATGAAGGCCACTTGTGTTGTGGCCGAAACGTCGGGAGAATTTTATTGTGTTATTTTATTTTATTATTTTATTCTCATTCTACGTGACTTTACCAAAAGAACCAAAGAAGATGAATCCTTGCAGTCACGAAAGCTTTAAATCGAAAGATGATGATGATGTCGGTTGCGAATCTGGTTCTGGTGGTGATGATGACGTTGAGGTTTATGACAGAGATGCTGCAGAGGTTGATTATTGTGCTGCTGTTGCAGCTTCTGCTGCTGCTGATTATTATTATTATTAATGTTGTTCCTGATTATTAATGTTGTTGCTGATTATTAATGTTGTTTCTGATTATTAATGTTGTTTCTGATTATTAATGTTGTTTCTGATGATTAATGTTGTTGTTGCTGCTGATTATTAATGTTGTTGCTGCTGATTGTTAATGTTGTTGCTGCTGATTATTAATGTTGTTGTTGCTGGTTAATGTTGTTGCTGCTGATTATTAATGTTGTTGTTGCTGCTGATTGTTAATGTTGTTGTTGCTGCTGATTGTTAATGTTGTTGTTGCTGCTGCTGGTTAATGTTGCTGCTGCTGATTATTAATGTTGTTGCTGCTGGTTAATGTTGTTGCTGCTGGTTATTATTGTTGTTGCTGCTGGTGGTGGTTAATGTTGCAGCTGCTGCTGCTGATTATTATTGTTATGAATTTGTTGCAGCTCATGACTGCTGTTGCCGTCCCTTTGTAGTTCGTGGTTGTCCCCACTCGCCGCTCCACCGCCAACTCACTACAGATGCTGATGTGCCATCTGCTGGGTGATGCGGGCAGCCCGTTCCTCATTGGCAAGGCACGTCACCAACACGTGCGCACACACCCACACACACCCACACACACCCACCCACACACACCCACACACACCCACCCACACACACCCACACACACCCACACACACCCACCCACACACACCCACACACACCCACGCACATCTCCCTCGCGGCCTTGACCAGACCGCGGGGCAAGCGCCGTTAGCGAGCACCCGTTGCTGTCGGCACGGCGCACGTGGTGGGGTAGGCGGGAAGGGCGGACGTGGTGTCAAGCAGACGGCGGACGGCGCACCGCGCTACGTATCCGGCGACCCGACCTCCATTTGCGGCTCCGGCCAACGTCGATGACGATTATCCCTGCGTTCGCGTTTGCCGCCGGCAGATCGCGGACTTGGTGCAGCGCTCGGACTCGTGGCTGGGCCGGCTCGAGGCGCTGCTCACGGCGCAGCTGTGCTGCCCCTTGGTGTGCGTGCTGGGCGCCGCCTGCTTCCTGGCCACGGCGCTGGTCCTCCCGCGCGACCGCGTGCGCTACCGCGCCGAGATGAGCGGTGACGAGCGCATGCCCCGCGCGGGGCACAGACAGACGGATCGTTGGCTCACTCGCTTCATCGATCGATCGCTCACTCGCTCACCAAGCTAGCTCGCTTATACGTTGTGCCCTTACTCACCGAGGTCACGCGCACGCACGCACGCGCGCTCGCTCGCTCGCTCGCTTAACCTTGCCAGATCACTCGGACTCGCAAAGCCATGTCTCTTAAGTTGTTACGTACTCACGAATCTAGTCGAAGCAAAGTCACTCGCTCACTCAAGGCAACTCATTCAGAGACACATTTCACTCGCCCACCAAGCAGCTGACTCGCTTCGCTCAACAATCCAGATCACCCGTACATCGGGAACGTACGCGGATCACTCGTGCACACTCACTCACCAAGCCGGCCTGTTCACTTAGTCACTCACTCACACTCAATCTCACTCGCGCTCACTCTCCGAACCCTCTCACTCACTCGGCCAACAAGCAATCTCTTACTCGCACTCACCATACCACTCACTCAGCCATCCTGTTCACTTTATACACTCACCACTTGTCATGGTTGGAGTTGAGGGTGAGTAGTGGTGGTGGTTGCTTTGGAGGTGAGTGGTGGTGGAGTTGGTGTGTGGTGTGTGGTGTGTGTGGTGTGTGTGGTGTGGTGTGTGTGTGGTGTGGTGTGTGTGGTTTGGTGTGTGTGGTTTGGTGTGTGTGGTTTGGTGTGTGTGATGTGGTTTGGTGTGTGTGGTGTGTGTGTGGTGTGGTGTGGTGTGCGTGGTGTGGTGTGGTGTGTGTGGTGTGCGTGCTGCGTGCAGCTGCCGCTGAAGATCCTGGTCACGACCTCCTCGTGCCGATGCCCGGTGGTCGCGCTGCCACCGTGCGGATTGAAGACGTCCTCTCCTAGAGAAGCGGACATCGTCGTCGTTATCATCAGCAGTAGCATCGCCGTATTCATCATCCTCATTATCATGATCATCACCACCATCTCATTGTCGTTATCATCATCGTCGGCAGTAGCAGAATTATCTGCAAGAGCATCACTTATTCTCAGTATTGTCACACTGTATATAAATAAATCATCATCGCAAAGTCAACGTCAGATGTCACCATCATCCACGCCGTTAGTATTTGGAGGTTGGGGGGTGGTCACTCCGTGTCGTCTATGGTGAATGTATTTTACACGGCAGCCAATGCCCAACGTGTGGTTTGTGCCTCCTTGATGTTGGGAATAAACCGAATTTTGTTGAGAGTCTGTGGAGTCGTCAGCCTTGCACGCCGACACCCCCTGCACTCCGCGAGGTCACCGCGCGTGCGGGGATGGGGGACCTGGCACCGTGGCCGAGATTTAAGAGCTATTTGTAAGGATGGCGTTTAATGTTGTCCCCTTGCATGGCACCAGAGGCAAACCAACTCCTCGTATATATAAAAAAATTAATTGTAGCAAACGCTGTTAAAATACTTAAGAATACTCTTTGGTTTTATTCGGTAAAGTCACGTGGATAAAATAAAAATAAAAGAAAACAATTAAATCACGACGTTTCGGAGGCAACACAAGCTTCCGTCTTCAGGTGGAATAGTCACAGCAGATATTCTCCAGGGAGGTCTAAGGCAAAGACCTCTGCTAGCCGGGTCTTTTGTAGGCATATATATACGCACACACACATTACACACCCTGCATACAATAGAGTAACATATACTGACTATAATGCCTACACACCCTACATACAACAGCAGTATCTACTGAGTCTCGAGTAGGATCTACTGACTATGTACCTACACAATACAGTCAGCAGTATCTACTGAGTCTAGAGTAGGATCTACTGACTATGTACCTACACAATACAGACAGTAGTATCTACTGAGTCTAGAGTAGGATCTACTGACTATGTACCTACACAATACAGACAGTAGTATCTACTAAGTCTAGAGTAGGATCTACTGACTATGTACCTACACAATACAGACAGTAGTATCTACTGAGTCTAGAGTAGGATCTACTGACTATGTACCTACACAATACAGACAGTAGTATCTACTGAGTCTAGAGTAGGATCTACTGACTATGTACCTACACAATACAGTAGTATCTACTGAGTCTAGAGTAGGATCTACTGACTATGTACCTACACAATACAGTCAGCAGTATCTACTGAGTCTAGAGTAGGATCTACTATGTACCTACACAATACACACAGCAGTATCTACTGAGTCTAGAGTAGGATCTACTATGTACCTACACAATACACACAGCAGTATCTACTGAGTCTAGAGTAGGATCTACTGACTATGTATCTACACAATACAGACAGTAGTATCTACTGAGTCTAAAGTAGGATCTACTATGTACCTACACAATACACACAGCAGTAGCTACTGAGTCTAGAGTAGGATCTACTGACTATGTACCTACACAATACAGTCAGCAGTATCTACTGAGTCTAGAGTAGGATCTACTGACTATGTACCTACACAATACAGTTAGTATCTACTGAGTCTAGAGTAGGATCTACTGACTATGTACCTACACAATACAGTCAGTATCTACTGAGTCTAGAGTAGGATCTACTGACTATGTACCTACACAATACAGTCCGTAGTATCTGCACACATTGGGGAGGGGGGAAGAGGATGACATCAGTGGAGGCGATGGGCGAGAAGCGTCGAGAAGCCCCCAGCAGAAGCTCGTGCGATAACAACATGATGATGATGATGGCACACCCGACAAAATCACCGATCTGAGATGTACCCCCATATTCATGGTCATTGTGTTGATCGTCAACCGAGAGGCATTGTATGGATTCCACTCGGTCGATCCATAATAAAGGAACATCACAAACATTCCGGGGTTAATCATCGTTTGCGGGGTAGTCGCTGTGTCAATTCATTGCCAAATGATCCTTGACTCGAGTAATGAAGTGACACCTCCCCCCCCCCCCATTGATTTGATTGTCTTCGGTTATTCCATCGCAGTCCGCTTTTATTGTACCACAGCGCCAACTGGTGGCGAAGATTTGAAACCTGAAAAAATATTTAAAACTTTCCTCCCCCCTAGGGGCCGTCCATAAATGACGTCACGCGATTTTGGACGATTTTTTGACCCCCCGCCCCTCGTCACACGGCGTCACAAAAAGTCAGACCCCCCCCCCTCAGATATGACGTCACAAAGCTCTGCCCCCCCCTCCCAAAACCATAGTTCCATTTTGAAAATAAAACAAGCTTCAAATCGCTTTAAACTATTGTCATTGTAAGTGCGTATTTAATGCGGCGCTGCACTCTGATGTTGTAGGAGTGTTGTTTTAACAATTAGTGTTGTTATAACAATTCTATATTTATTTAAAGTTGCGAATTTGTATATGACGTCACATTTCTCAAACCCCTCCCCCCCTCGTCACACATCGTCACAAATGTCTGACCCCCTGTTGTATATGAGCCTTTTCCAAAATTGATATTAACAATAATATTTGCCGTTATATATCATATATTTTTTTAAACAAACGAAAAAATGAATCAATAAAACCCGTAAGCCAGGCACACGAAAAACCAGATGTCGATCATAAACAGGCCATTAAAAATTAAAGAAATAATAAAACTCTCAAGGCGAGGATGTTAGCAGCTATCTGCGAAGATCTCCAGATGAACAAGAGTTTGATGTGCCCTAAGGGAGGTCACGCAGAGGGAAGCCCTCCGCAAGCCAGAAACGAGGACGCCCACGGGTTAAACCATATTTTTTTTCATTAAAACAACGGTTAAAATTTAAAATGCAATAACAAGAATAAGCCAAAGTTAGCGGTCCTCGCGCTCACTCCAATTAAGACCAGGCCACCAGATACATCAGTGAATTATTATCCAATAATTAATTCGCTATCAAATGATTTTCACCTTTAATACTTTTACTGTTAAAACAAAGCTTGAGACAAAATACAGTCACATCAAAGGTTATCGAGAAGGAATGAGGCAAACGGGCAAACTTACGAAAGAGTTTAAACAATATCCCAAGCAACCCCGACCACCTTTGTCTCTCTCACAGCGCGGAGAAGCAGGAATTACACCTTATCACAAGGGGTCATCTGGAAAAGCCAGCCGTGTTTAATGAGAAAACAACCAGGCAAACAAAGTTTTAAAGAAAATTGCAATATAACATTAATAATAACGTGTTCACCTTACACGACATTCCATTATAGAACCTTACAGAACCAAGGGATATGGATTCCAACAATAAAGAAACGGACCTCTTAAACTCAGGATGAAAATTATTTTTCTTTTTAATAATTCCATCATAACAAAGCGAACCTCGGTAAACCGAGAGGGGTGTCGGGAGGACGTAGTTACAAACACGAGTCTTGGCGAACATGGGACCAAATGGTATTTGAGAAATATAAAGTCGAAAGTATAAAGAGATAGGTACTCCCGACCACCTTTGTCTCTCTCGCAGAGCGCGAGAGAGGAATTTCACGCCAGGGCAAACAGATCGTTATCGCAGGAGCCATCTGTACACACACACGAACTCACACACACACAGACCCCGCCCCCCCTTTTCCACTGCGCGGAGAGAATTGTCTTTGAATATAACGGTCAGCCGCATGTTCAAAAGTCAGTCAGTTAAGTCAGTCAAGACAGATCAGCGAGTCAAGACGTCCACAGGACGAGCAGTCGCATAGAGCGGCTGGCTCCGAGCCTCGCTGAGTAGCGAGGATCGCTGAGTCGCGATGTATCAACAAAAGTGAGTCATACAGCAGTGGAGAGAAACTGCTGTCAGCGAACCAGCGAGGACGCGTTCGCGCACTTCAACAGAAAGAGCACGTGCGACTCAACTCACTCAACAGAAGAAAAGCTTTCCCAGCCGCCAACAAGTACCAGCGAATCAGCGCTGAGAGCGCTCGAGCATCTCCACAGAGAAAGCACGTGCAACGTGGCTCAACCAGCAGCGGAAAAGCACGAGCAGCCGCCAACAACTTCAGCAAACCAGTGACTAAGCGCGTGCGACTTGAGTCATACAGCAGTGGAGGAAACCTGCTGTCAGAGAGCCACCAACAACCTCAACAAAGAGAGCGCGTGCGACTCGGCTCACTCAGCAGAAGAAAACTTGACCTGTCGCCCGCGAGCGCAGCGTCAGATACTACAGCAGCGGAAAGAGCGCGGCCAGCAACGCCAAGGAAGAGCGTGCAGCAGCTCATCCAGCAGTGGAGAGAAACTGCTGTCAGCGAACCAGCACGGGCGCGTTCGCGCATCTTCAAGGAGAAAGAGCACGGCCAGCAACGCCAAGCAAGAGCGTGCAGCAGCTCAGCCAGCAGTGGAGAGAAACTGCTGTCAGCGAACCAGCACGGGCGCGTTCGCGCATCTTCAAGGAGAGGGAGCGCGCGCCACCAGCGTGCCATCAGCACCAGCACCAGCGCGTGCCAACAGCGCGCCACCAGCGTGCCACCAGCACCAGCACCAGCGCGTGTCAACAGCGCGCCACCAGCGTGCCACCAGCATCAGCACCAGCGCGTGCCAACAGCGCGCCACCAGCGTGCTACAGCGCGCAACTTCGCGTCACCAGGGCTGAGAGGGCAGCGGCCCCGCACTCAACACCCATCGGCGCGACGACGGCGAGCGTCGTGCTGACTCTTCCAGCCAGCAGTGGACAGAAACTGGCAGACGTTCGTATGCCCAAACCTCTCCCCCACACTCTCCCCCTCACTCCCCCACCGCGCCGCAACACACAGGAAACACATTTTGGACACAAGAGATGCTAACCTCGGCGTCTGCTTTACGCAAAGAATTGAACCAGTGATAACGAAGACACACGATAGGCATATTGGGATAATCAAGAAGGGTTGCCACTCCAAGGTGGTGCATTAAAATCAATTCATAACGAAAAATACTGCTGTCATTGAGTTGCATAAACAGGTCCCTGCAGGGTGGGCTGGTAGGACAAGTCTCTGCGCTGTCTATTGCTGATTTTACACCCAACAGCACGAGATTTCACTTCGTTAAAGTATTGAAAGGGGATGGACGGACGGACACATTAATCTATTGCAGGCTGGTACACTCAGTTTACAACTTCGTTCCTACCAGTATAACCAATCGTCCTACTGTTAACGTGATAAGAATTGACTTGAAGGTCTATGAATGGATGTGGTACTGTGTGGGCAATGTTTAAATACGAATTTACATTATAAGGTTAAGGTTTTGATAGAATAGTTGCATGTTTAATCTCTCTCTCAACAACCGATTGATTGCGTTACGCGTCGGGAATTAACCACAGGTGCCGCTATCGAGGTAAAACAACGCAATCGTGATGGTATCATGTTAACGCTGTGTTGAAATTCCAAAATCCCGAGATTGAGTTTCATATTATCCAAAAAATAAAGTTAGCTAGAAAATAAAATTGATTAAAGCAGAAGGTTTGTGTGTGATTCTTCCTGAAATTCTGCATAATATTGTTCTGCGCATGAGATCTGAATCCTGGGGACCTATCATAAGCACACTATCACCACACATAATCCATAACACATAATTCATAATGTTCAATCGAGAGTAATCGTATCCTTATCGATAATACGGAATTAAAGAGCAGAGTCGAATCGACTCTCTCTCTCATTTACGCTCACAACACCTACAGAACTGCATACGATCAATTGCGTTGTTCCAATTAATAACCAAACCTCGTCACCGAGGCTCGACCACATAATCCATAACGACCTGCATTATCATAACCACGCCCACTCGCTTAAAATAATACGAGAATCTCTCGAATCAGCATAATTTATGCGCAGAATTACAGTAATTAACATAATTTCGGATAAATTATGCAAATTTTAAATTTAATTTATTTTTCATTATTTTCATCAATTTTCATAACACCTATATATACAACACCCCCCCACCCCCCCCCTAGGTGCGTGACGTCATTTATGGACGGCCCCCTACCCACTCATTTCTCTTCCTCCCCGGTCTTTTCTCGCGCCGTGTCTCTGTGTTCCAGGGTCAATTATCTTCATTTTTATGGCACCGTTCTCGCCATCTGTCTCAGGTTTTCACATTTTATTGGTTCTTAATAAAATAATACAAAATAAAACGTAACGAAAGAACCAAGAATATGAATCCCTGCAAGTAACGAAAGCTTTAAATCGAAATTGTCTCAGGTTTATTCTCGACTTTGCCGATCTCTCGTCCGTCTCGGTAGGCGCCGTGGTCCTCTTGACCCGTTCTCCATCAAATCGCTCATCATATCGCATATTCAGTTTATTGTTAAAAATTCGGTCACAGTTCCTATGATCAACTGTTACATTGCATTTATGGCTTTATTTTGGTGATTTATAAAAGTTTTTTAGTTTGGCCATGTTTTTGTTTATTGTAGTACGCAGTTCGACTGATGGCCTTAATCTTAGTTGTCTTGTGGTTGTTGTTGTTGTTTGACTTGCATCCCACTGCGATTTTTGCACACAGCGTTGGTGTGCGGTGCTATTTCAGGAATATTTTGATATTTTTTTCCTGGATTTTCTGTTTGCACAGTCACACATAGTCACTTTAAGATGTTTTTCTTGTTCATGTTTTTGTTTGTTTGTTGCGGTTGCACCCGATTCAAGAGCCGAATGGCTCACAGGGCTATACCAAAATAAATGAAAACTATGGAAACTATGATTTGCCTGTCGCTGACCGGGGATTTCGAACTCTGCCCACCCCACCTGCAGGAGAAACCTTGCGTTTTGATTATAGCGTGCTGATCTTCAAAGGTGCATTGAAACTTTCTGATACTCCTGCTTATTATGGGAGTGACTCATGCAGCCAGCTTATGGGCTGCAAAGTTGAGTAGTACCGTACATGTTGTTTACGTCTATTCTTGTAAACTACAAATCACCGTTCCTGTGATCACTGTTGTTACATTGTTTTTATAGATTTATTTTGGTGATTTCGAAAACTTGTTGGTGTAGCCATATTTGTTTGTTGCTGTACAGAGTTAGACTGATAACTTTCATCCAAATTGTCTTACGGTTGTTATTGTTTGACTTGCATCCCACTGGGATTTTTGCACACAGCGTTGATGTACGGTGCTTTTTTTCTGGAAGACTTTGCTGTTTTTTTCACTTTAAGATGTTTTTCTTGTTCATGTTTTTTGTTTGTTACGGTTGCACCCGATTCCAAGAGCCGAATGGCTCACAGGGCTATGCCTAATCCATGAAACCGGCAGAGGTGGTCCTCCACGTTGCGCTGTGGAAACGCTGTGAAAGTTGGTGATGGCTCTGCTTATTAAAATCATCGACGCGGATGACAATTCTTTGTTTGTATTTGTTGTCGACAATAAAAGCTGGAGAGAGGAAAGAAATAACCCAAACTACTCCTTGAGTCTGAATCTTTTTGCGTTTGATCGTTGTAAATAAAATGACGTTAAAAAAATATTAAACGATATAGCAGCCGGGGTTTGAACCCGTGAGCTCGTCGACTCGCAGCCCCGCGCACTCCCCCACTGCGACCACAGGGAAGTTGATGGCCTCGCGTCGCCGTGGAGACTCGGGGGGTCGTCACGTGGCCAGACACCGGGCGCGAACCCGTGGCACTTGAGCTCAGCGGTACAACCGCGATCCACTCTCCCTCCCTCCCCACCCTCTCCACCCTCTTATCCCTTGAAACACTCTCCCACAGAAACACTCTCCTCCTCGCTCGGCGGGTTATTTGGTGAGTCCCGTGGCCGTGTGAAGTGATGTTGTAAATGGGGGTGGTTGTGGTGGTGATTTGATAGAAGTTGTGGTGGTGGTGGTGGTTACGGTGTTGGCGGAGGTGGTGGTTGTGGACATCATGTTTGTGGGTTTTAGTGGTGGTGATTGCCCCAACAGTATGTTAAGGCTATACGGGGGATCTTTGTTTGCTGGTGATTACGGTGGTTTTGGTTGTGGACAGCGGTGATGTCAATTTCTATCGTTCACCAGCCATCGATTGTCCACCATTAATCAGCTGTCAATCAGCCCTTCCCCTCACTCCAGCTCCTTCCCCTTCTTACTTCATCGCTCCCACTCACCCCCCTCCCTCTCGCCCTGATACTCAGACCCCATGGTAGAGTGGTGGGAGAGAGGAAGGGTGGGAGCTGGGAAGGAGAGTGGGAGCAGGGAGAGTGGGAGCAGGGAGAGTGGGAGCAGGCAGGGAGAGTGGGAGCAGGCAGGGAGAGTGGGAGCAGGGAGAGTGGGAGCAGGGAGAGTGGGAGAGAGGAAGGGTGGGAGCAGGTAGGGAGAGTGGAAGGGTGGGAGCAGGTAGGGAGATTGGAAGGGTGGGAGCAGGTAGGGAGAGTGGGAGAGAGGAAGGGTGGGAGCAGGTAGGGAGAGTGGGAGCAGGCAGGGAGAGTGGGAGCAGGTAGGGAGAGTGGGAGCAGGTAGGGAGAGTGGGAGCAGGGAGAGTGTGAGATAGGAAGGGTGGGAGCAAACAGGGAGAGTGGGAGCAGGGAGAGTGGGAGCAGGTAGGGAGAGTGGGAGCAGGTAGGGAGAGTGGGAGCGAGGAAGGGTGGGAGCAGGCAGGGAGAGTGGGAGCAGAGAGAGTGGGAGCAGGTAGGGAGAGTGGGAGCAGGCAGGGAGAGTGGGAGCAAGGAAGGGTGGGAGCAGGCAGGTAAAGTGGGAGCAGGGAGATAGGAAGGGTGGGAGCAGAGAGGGAGAGTGGGAGCAGGTAAAGTGGGAGCAGGGAGAGTGGAAGGGTGGAAGCAAGCAGGGAGAGTGGGAAAGAGCAGAAAGGAAGAGGGTAGAGAGAGAGAGAGAGATCAGGCAGAGTGAAAGCGAGTGAGAGGTAAGAGTGGTAGCAACGGGAGAGAGGGTGGGAGGGTGGGTGGCGTCAAAATACAAAAACTGCCCGCGTCTCTATTCGGATTCAATCCACTTCGCTACGTGTCACTGAGGCAACATCGCTGACTCCAGAGAGAGAGGGGGGGACACCAGGAGCCAGGAGAGCACCTAGAGACGGGACAAGAGAGAGACGGCAGAGCAAGAGACACCGAGAGAGGCGGAACGCAAGGCAGAGGAAGAGGCGAGCCAGAGGAGAGAGGGAGTGGGAGATGCATATTTTCCAGATCGCCTCTGCGGAAGAGTTGGAGACGCGGACGGGGGATGAGGAAGATGTGACCGAGGTGCTGAGCCCCGCCAAAGGGGACGAACTTCAGGGGCCCCCGGGATACCGAGCCTCCCTCAAGTCCCTGCTCAGCACCAGCACCTTTCAGGTGAGCTCAGGTGATGATAATGAATGTTGATGACGATGATATTGATGATGGAGGCCCAAGGCGAGCCCTGGTCTGGATGTGGATGCTGGTTGACACGAGGGCTCTCACCTGGCTGCATGACTCCGCTTTGCTGCAACAATTCCTCGACAACGTTCACCCTAACCCTTGTAAGCATAACCTTAATCCCACCTAAAACCCTCACCCATAACCCTATAACCCTCATCAAACTTATAGCCCCGACCCCAAATCCCATCGATAACCATACCTATAATCCTCACGTGAACCCCAAATCATGTAACCTTCACTCTTAAACCCTCACCCGAACCCCTAACCCCGTAACACCAACCCCACCTATAACCATCCCTATGAAGCTAAAAACTTCGCCATACCGTTACCTATAACTCTAACACAATCTCTAACCTTGCCACTACCACCTAAACCCTAATTCGACACCCCTATACAAACCTCCCCCACTTCCGTCCCCCTCCATGGACGCTTCCCGCTCTCCAATGTCCCGTGTCCCGATGCTCTTATCCACGTGCCCCCCTCTGTCCCCGTGTCCCCATGTAGGTGCTGGTGGTCATCCTGGTGCTGCTGGAAGCGCTCTTCGTGCTGGCAGAGTTGCTCCTCGACCTCTCCATCATCACCTTCCCGCAGGCCGACGTCGTGCACGAGGTCAGCACACGCGAACATCCTTTATCATCATCAGCCACCACCATCACCACTCATGATTATCACCCACCATCCACATTGCAGCCGATTACATCCATACTTTCTTCTCCCCCTCAACCAATAGCCACATCACTCCCTTCAGCCTCATTACTTACACCCCACTCTCCATCAAACTTGCATGACCTCCACGCCATCACACATCATAACCCACCATCACCTCTGCTGCTCTGTGACAACATAAGTCACTCTCGGTGTGTCAGTGTGATGTTTCCGTGTGTGCGATGCGCGTGTGTCAGTGTGACAGTTTGTGTTCGAGTGTCAGTGTGCACGTGTGATCTCCATCACCTCCACTCCACTCAAGCCCCCATCACCTATGCTGCACCCATCAAATCCCCATCCCCCCCCACCCCCGTTCCCCATGGAGCTCTGCGTCAATGTCTATGCAGAGTATAGGGTTCGATTTTTCCGTTCGCCCACGATTGGGGCACCGTTGCGTGTCCGCGTGTGTCGGTGTGTCGGTGGGTGTGTGCCATTCGTGGCAGTGTGCGTCGATGTGTGTCGGTGCGTGCGAAGAGGGTGTTACTTTTAGCAGTGTGTGTGTCTCTGTGTGCGTGTCTCTGTGTGTGTGTCTCTGTGTGTGTCTCTGTGTGTCTGTGTGTGTGTCTCTGTGTGTCTCTGTGTGTGTGTCTGTGTGTGTGCCTCTGTGTGTGTCTGTCTCTGTGTGTGTCTCTGTGTCTGTGTGTGTCTGTGTCTCTGTGTATGTGTCTCTGTGTGTCTCTGTGTGTGTGTCTGTGTGAGAGGGTGAGCGGTAGTGTAGCGGTTAGCGCTATGCTTCTCCACGAACCCGGCAACCCGGGTTGGATTCCCGCTCACGGCCAACACCGGTGACGATTATCTGAACCGGTCTTGGGCCTCCCCTAGGTCGACTCAGCCTCAAATGAGTACCTGGTGCGGTGTAAACATCGCCACTGGGGAGACAAAGGCGGTCGGGCGTGGTGCTGGCCACCCACCCCCTCGTGTGCCGTTCCGGCTTTCATAGGTGCTCGCTAACAGCACTTGCCCCTACAGTCTGTTAAGGCTATACGGGGGATCTTTGTCTTTGTGTCAGTACGTATCAGATGCTCGCTCACAGCACTTGCCCCAACAGTCTGTTATAGGCTTTAAGGGGAATATTTGAGTTTGAGAGCCAAACGCTCATTAATGGAATTGGTCAAACATCCCAATGTAGGAGGTCCCTCCTCAGCGATGCTTTTCTGGGTAATTCATTGGCATTATTACATTAATGTCTGCATGTAATGTACTGCACACCAATCACAATACATGCCGACACGACAGTGACTTTACATATCAATCAGAAATACTATAGTATCATGTTTTCTTTGCCACCAAGACCTCGATGTTTGAACTAACCTTCATCCTATCGCTACGACCACGGTTACTTTGCCCGTGAACTTCACTCAATGATTCCTCCACCAATGTTGAGGACTTGGACTGTTTAGTCTCAACCATACAGTGTTCACCACCACCACACTGCAGGTCAAAAACACTCACTCAACCACTCACTCACCACACTACAGGTAAAAACACACTCACTCAACCACTCACTCACTCACCACATTACAGATCAAAACACTCACCACACTGCAGGTCAAAACAACACTCACTCAACCACTCACTCACCACACTGCAGGTAAAAACACACTCACTCACCACACTGCACGTAAAACACACTCACTCACCACACTGCAGGTCGAAACAACACTCGCTCAACCACTCACTCACTCACCACACTGCAGGTAAAAACACACTCACTCAACCACTCACTCACCCACCACACTACAGGTAAAACACACTCACTCAACCACTCACTCACCACACTGCAGGTAAAAACACACTCACTCAACCACTCACTCACTCACCACACTACAGGTAAAAACACACTCACTCAACCACTCACTCACTCACCACACTACAGGCCAAAACACACTCACTCAACCACTCACTCACCACACTGCAGGTCAAAACAACACTCACTCAACCACTCACTCACTCACCACACTGCAGGTAAAAACACACTCACTCACTCACCACACTACAGGGCAAAACAAGACTCACTCACCACACTACAGGTAAAACACACTCAACCACTCACTCACCATACTGCAGGTAAAAACACTCAACCAACCACTCACTCACCACACTACAGGTAAAAACACACTCACTCAACCACTCACTCGCTCACTCACCACATTACAAGTAAAAACACACTCACTCAACCACTCACTCACCACACTACAGGTAAAAACACACTCACTCAACCACTCACTCACCACACTGCAGGTAAAAACACACTCACTCACTCACCACACTACAGGTCAAAACACACTCACTCAACCACTCACTCACCATACTGCAGGTAAAAACACACTCAACCACTCACTCACTCACCACACTGCAGGTCAAAACACACTCACTCAACCACTCACTCACTCACCACACTACAGATCAAAACAACACTCAACCAACCACTCACTCACTCACCACACTGCAGGTAAAAACACTCAACCAACCACTCACTCACTCACCACACTACAGGAGAAAACACACTCACTCAACCACTCACTGACTCGCCACACTGCAGGTAAAACACACACTCACTCACTCACCACACTACAGGTCAAAACAACACTCACTCACTCACCACACTACAGGTCAAAACACACTCACTCAACCACTCACTCACCACACTACAGGTCAAAACACACTCACTCAACCACTCACTCACTCACCACACTGCAGGTCAAAACACACTCACTCAACCACTCACTCACCACACTGCAAGTAAAAACACTCAACCAACCAACCACTCACTCACCACACTGCAGGTCAAAGCAACACTCACTCACCACACTGCAGGTCAAAACACTCACTCAACCACTCACTCACTACACTGTAGGTCAAAACACACTCACTCAACCACTCACTCACTCCCCCACTTTACCGCATATGCATGGCACCGCCATGCATAACACGGGCCTAGGTTGCAAGCAGAGGACGATGTTGAAAATCAATTGTATTCTACTACGCTCCATCGATGTTATCTATGCTCCACGCCTTCACCAACTCACAATGGTCCACATGCTCAAGTACAGTCAAACAACCCACGTGGCTAACAGGGCATGGGCAAGGTTTCATCCAGCAGTGGATTGACACAGACATTGTACTGATTTTTCTCTGAACAGTGCCATGCGTATGCAGTAAAGTGGGGAGGGGGGGCAGGAAGGGGGGGGTGGTCGATTGAATCGACGCTGGGCTTGCTTGCTCCATTCAGTGTGGAGGTCGATCAATGGGTGACCCGGTATCGTGCGGCCATGCGCACCCAAACCCGGCCTACCCGGGCCCCCCGTCCCCTCAGGCCCCCTTGCTGGTGGCTTTGTGGTCCTCCTGGGAGCAGAGGGGGGGGGTATCAATCCACTCTACTTGTCAGACTGGGGGAAGAGAACAAGAGTCTAGAAATCTGCGGAAGGCGGAGTAGGCTCACAATAAGAGGAATGAATTCTTATAATTAATATATATGTGCAACAGTTACTATAATGAGAATATTATTGTGTTATTTTATTTTATCAATTTATTATTTTATTCTCATTCTACGTGACTTTACCGAAAGAACCAAAGAAGAGGAGTTACTATAATAGTTGTATTAGGGCTCATTGACAGAAGAGATGATGACCAGGGTCAACCAAACGGGAGGGGACGCGCCCGAGAGGACATCCGTGTGGGGTGACGGCATTGCAAAATCATCTCACGCGAGATCGACTGTTGCATCGCGTGACCGTGAAGGATGGCGACGAATTGGGGAGGCCCTCGTCCAGCGGTGGATAGATCACGGTGGGTGATGGCAAAGCGAAGATCGCGGTTAAGTTTCTCACTATGCAGCAGTTACCCAGCGTTCGCAACAATGGCAATGAATCATAAGGTTGTCACGCCAAATTCAGCACATTTATAGTCAACACTTCTCTGCCACACCTGAACAGCGGTGGTCATGGTTATCGGGTTTTTTTAGTTGCGAAATTTGCCCATTGCAATTGTGTTTTTGGGAAAACAATTGAATTATTCTGGGAAGGCACATTTTAAAAGGTACTATTCACACCAACATTCGCCTTGAACGGTGGCCCAGTGCATGAGGAGTTTGCGACACGAGAACACAGGGCCGGTGTTCGCTCGCGCCCGTGACCTTCTCCGTCCGACCTCTCGGAAACGCGCGCCGTCTGTCGTCCCCTGGGCTCGTTACGATCGCCCGACTCGGTGATTGGCGTCCGCTAATTCGCGCAGCGATGATGGGTGTAACGGCCTGCAGGTCACCGACGACAGGGAAACATTCCTTCTCCAGCTTTTATCGGAAAAACAAGAGCGACTGTAATTAGGTTTTTCAATGAGAATTCAATTGAAGCTGAAAATGAGTCTTGCAATTATCTTTCCACCCGTTATGAATTTATGTGTGTGCAAACAGGACGATTATCGCTTGTTAATAACCAAGAAGTACCAGTGTCAATGTGATCGGGGGAAATCAAGATGTTTGGGAAAAACAGTAATGAATGTTGTTTAATTCCAGAGGGGGAAAGAAATATTTAGAAAAATCAATGAGCATTAGGTGTTGTCTTGAATATTTATTTTCAGCCCAATTGTGCAGCCTTCATTCAGGTTTGTAATCAATTCCTGCGGTTAATTTGCAAACGGCCGTTATAACGAGCACATCTCAAGCGAACGCGAGATGGCTAACACCACCTTCACCGAAGTATCTGACCCACCCATACCGGACATCTGTGGAAAAAAAAAGCGCTTTATATCTCATCGGATTCCTCCAGTCTAAATAAAGATTCTGATTCTGATCCTCTGCAGCCGCCTCAAATCGCCTCGGGTGAGACACCCCTCCTCCGATCCATGTTCAATTCCTGTCCCTCCGTGCGCAACCCGCCTCACACCAGGTGTTCAACTTCCTGTCGCTGGCCGTGCTGACGTTCTTCGTGCTGGAGCGGCTGGCACACGTCTTCGCGTTCGGCATCGTGGCGTTCACGCGCTCGCGCCTCGAGGTGTTTGACGCCTTCGTCGTGTGCCTCTCCTTCGTGCTCGACATCGCCTACGCGTCCCGCCGGGACGCCTTCGACGCTGCGGGCCTACTGGTGCTGCTGCGGCTGTGGCGACTCGCCCGCGTGCTCAACGGTGAGCGCCGAGTTGCGTCGCGGGGGTCGTGGTTTGCCGGGGATAATTGAAAGAGCAGACACCACCCATCCATCCCCCATAGACCTTAAACAGGGCTGTTTGAGGCGAGTGCTGTAGGCGAGCAGCTATCGAGGCCGTGGCACGGCGCGAGATGCACCCGGCCGACTTTGTGTCCCCAAGTGCTTATGTTTACGCACCGCACCGGGTGCTTGTTTAAGGCCCAGTTGACATAGAGGAGGCCCACAGCAAGTTCAGATATCACTCGCCCCTGATGTTAGCAGTGGCTGGGAATTGAAGTGCACAAACCACTGTGCCACGACTCTGCTCCATAAAAAACACATGTAACTACAAATATGACTGTGTATAAAGTTTCTGCTTCAGTGAATCTATAATAAGTAATATTTTAAAAAAAACTTTTTTTTTTAAATTAAACACGCTTTAATGAAATGTACCCTACTAGTAATGGAAGAACTCCACGACTCCAGGAAGGGGCCCTGAAGCTTGCCGTAACGTAAGGGACCGTGGTGAATTACAGCCTACGTGAGTTGAGCGTGGACAATTAGACCCAAGGCGAAACGTAACATATAAAAAATGTTTCAAAATATATATTTTTTATGCTAGAATATAGTATTGTCATCAGTATGACATAAGTATACCAATTTTGCAGTCGATACCACATTGGGAAGTGGGTTAAAATTGTGTTACAAGATTTGAGGATACGACAACAACAGAGTGAAAAAAAAGTTAAGTAAGCCTAACTGATGAGATACTGAATGTCGAAACCAGTCCAGGGTTTTCTTGTATTAAACCATTACAGTCCCCGGGTTGCGGAACACCCGACTTACGGAAATCCTACTTTACGGAAATGCTCCCTAATATATATTAGTTTATTTAAATGTGCGGAAATGTTCGCGTTAGTTACGCAAGCGCGAATAGTGCAGCGCGGTGAGGTTGTGGATGATTACCGCGGAGCGAGGCGTAAGCGTCACACCTTACGCCTCGCTCCAACAAAGCTCCGCTTTGACCGAACCGGAGCTTCACGAGCGTTACGTAAATTCTTTCCCTTTTGTAGCATTACATAATTGTTTGTTTTCTACGCTTAGAACTATCTTTTATCCCATGTTTCTATTGTTATTTTTTTTTATTTTAAGTTTATTCCATAAGTTACTTACTGTATGTGTAGTGTTCAACACGGAGGCAAACACTCTGGACTTGGAGGCAACACTTTTATTTAACAACTTCCCCAGCGGGTAACTAACACTGAATGTAACTCGGGTTCTATAGTAGGTGATGTGGCTAGTAGCGAGTTAACTCGAGACGAAGACCCGGAGACGACGAGACGCGGGACCCAGGCTTGACTCCACAGACGAGCCAATAACACTCTCGGGACTGCCCCTTTATGCTCCTGGGCGTGGCCTCGTTCTGCCTTCGGCCACGCCCCCTTCGAGACCTTTCCCAAAAGATCTTGACCAAGCATCACGTGCCCTACTCAGGCTACCACGTCCTCCCTTGCCCTCTCTCTCTCAGGCCATCACCAGGACTATGCCCCCTAGGGTTGGCTGACGTGCCTACTTACTCTGGTGCTAGAGAGAGGCTCCAGACGCACAGTTGCACTCCTGTAACAGTAGCTGGCGCGAACACCCGAGTGACACCATTTACGTCACTACATATGTACTTTATTTAACATAATTACACCTCGATTGCTTATGGTCTCAGCTGGAGGCCGACCGAAACTGAATTTCTGGTTACGGCCGAAAACGAAACCAGACCGAAAGTAAAATGTGACTTTCGGCCGAAACCGAAAGTAAACCGAAAGAGGCCATTTGCCAACTTTCGGTGCCGAAGTCGAAAACGAATTTCGGTTGGCCTCTAATTAGCAGACGATGGTTGCGGCTGTAACTTCGCTCCCAAGCTGCTGCTGCTGACGTGTGTGTGTTTGCAGCTTATCGCATATGATTGCCTAGCGCCGACTGACCGGCCGAATATAACATAGCACTAGCGTTATATTCTAAAAATAGATCTTCGGTTGACGAATGACGACCGAAAGTCAATCAGTTTCGGCCGAAACCGAAAGTAAACCGAAAGTAAATTTTTTGGCTTCAGCCGAAACAGAAACTATGCCGAAAGAGGCCATTTGCCAACTTCCGGCACCGAAACCGAATTTCGGTCGGCCTCTAGTCTCAGCCAACAGCGATCGGAGAAATCAAGGCCTAGCCGATGCACGGTAAACGAACATTCGGAAGTGACAACTTTCTGTTAACAATTGTTAAAATGTTTCGTGGTATTGATAAACAATCAGATACAGTATATTTTCTGTTAGTTTAATTATGAGTAGCGTTAGCGTAGATATTCGATGAAATGAAAGAATCATAGGAAGTGCAGAGCATATGTACAGCGATACGATGCAGATAGTGGTTGAAAACGGGAGACAGCGTGATATAGTACCAAGAGAAAAGGATAGGGAGGTACAATTATTTACGGCTATGGGATTTTATCTTTATTTGGGGGGAAATTTATTCAGTTTCTGACATACGGAAAATTCGGGTTACGGACCGTTCTCGGAAATATAATCCTTCAGTAGCCCGGGGACTGCCTGTACTGCTGAGAATATGCACACCGAGAAAGCTGTGTGACCGATGAGATATATAAAATACAAGCATGGTGCGTCAACCACTGCGCCATTCACACAGACACCACGCGCACGCAACATGGAACAGTGACGTGTGTTTAGAAGTCACCCTCCATCAAACCCCCCCCCTCTCCACCAGAGGCAAGCTGCCAATTGAGGGTCCTCCAGGCTAAACAAACTGCGCTCCGAGACATTCCATTATTCTATGAGTGCAATCTAAATGCGAGCATTATTTTTATGAATTGTCTGATTTGGGGTCACGATTCGAGGTTCATAATTTGAGGATGGATTCCTATTTGTGGTGGAGCGGTCAGCGTGTAGTGCCTACAGGGCCTGCAGGGGTCATCAGAACCCATTACATACAACACATGCCAATCAAAAGTAATTGATTCTGACACGCATGACCCTATGCGTATATCGAATTCAGGAATCGGTGTTTCATTAGTTGGCTAGTTTTTACCACCGTGTTGGTATGGTGAAGGTGGGTCGGGGGTTCAGGACCACCACCGATGTTAGCTGCAGCCTGGAATTGAACTCAGGACGAAGGGTTCATAACACATGCTAACTGCTGCACCACCATCCATCCATACACATTGTATTTTAAATACATATATTTTCTTAGACGTGGTATCTGATCCATGTCGTTTGAATCGAACATTACATGCACGCGCAGTAGAAATCGGCCGATATACGATAATACACCAACCGGGCACTTCTCAGAGAACACCAAACACGCGTACCAGCTCTGTTCAGAACGGTTTCTATGCCCCCACCATGCTACCATATTTCTGCAGAGGGGAAATGGGAGTAAACATGAACTGCAGGACGAATAGGTTCGACCACTGTGAATTTATGAACTTATCACCCTGCTGATTGTTCTCCAAGGTAGCTGGCAATGGTCCAGCTGTTCCATTTATTTCTAATTAGAGGCATTCAATTGGCATGTCTGTATTATAAAGCCCTGTCGACTCGCATGCTTTAGCAAAGACCAAATGAAATTCCACAGTGTCACCGCCCCAACAAATCCATTTGTCAAATAAGTACAAAACCAAACTCACGGAACAATGAGAGAGAAAAAAAACATTCCTTGAATCGCACCGTCACACTGCTAACGCCTGCCAACCGCTGGCCAAATCGAGCGGGTGCGAGCGGGACCTAAATTCCCTAAAACACGCGCGTGCGCGTGTGTGTGTGTGTGCGCGCGACGTGCCGGGGCGACAGGCATCGTGATGTCAGTGAAGATCCAGGCACAGCGGAAGGTGCGCAAGCTCAAGAAGGAGAACGCGGTGCTGGAGGACAAGGTGACGCAGCTCAAGGAGCAGTGCGCCAAGCAGGTAAGTCGCGGATCACACTGGCAGTTCCACCGTCGCCACGGTTCATTGTGACCACAGCTCTAGATTACAGGCACCTATCAATAATCAAGACTGTAATAAACTCGGTGGTTTTCTTTTCAGTCGTCACTTGGTGGCTTACGATGAGGATGGATACACGTCTTAAACGCCTTCCTCTTTGGTAAATATTATTTTATTTGGGCTTGTTTACCCAGGAAAGCCTCACTGAGTGGCAACACTCTTTATTCAGAAGGGTCCCAATTAAGTTTTCCCAGTTGGGGATCGACAATTGCTGTGCATTTCCCAATTAGGGAAGTTTGTGACTCTCCACGGCCACAGTCTACCGGCTTGAATGAGCATTGAGCATCAGTTCAATGCTCATTCAAGCATAAAATTACTTCTCTCATAAAAACTCAGATCGGTACCATGTAGAGCAAGTAGGTTACATTCTACCCTGTGTATACAGTAACAGGTCTGAATGCAACAAACTTCAACATTACTCAAGAGAGCATACCAGTTTTGATAATTTATTGTGCTCACATTCGAAACATTTTACCTACAGAAACTCCCAGCCGCAGTTTGTGTGCGCCATGCCAGCAGTGGCGTCGCGTGATTGGCAACGGTCCTGGTGCAGGAAACGAAATGTGGTGTCCCAGCCCATTTTCACCCCCATCTCTTCCGAGCCCGGCGCCTATGCTGTTTCGCCTCGTGGGTCTTTTGTGCAGTTGCATTGTCCGCACACTCGATGGTCGACAGCTACACCACTCCTCGAGCCACTGTGGTTCTCGCCTCTGCCCCCGCCGTGTTTAGGAGAGCGAGCTGGCCTGGCTCAAGACGCAACAGCAGCAACAGGCGGCGGAGAGTGTGGACCATCACGCGAGCGTGGAGAGCGTGGACTCACCAGTACCCGTGCATACCCACGTGGAGAAGCACCCTCTCAAAAGAGGGACGGGCCACTCGCCAAATCAGCCAAGTCACCCAGCCACTCACTCCAACAGCCGACCAGACCAATGAACCAGCCGACGAAGCAACTGAACCAGCCGACTAATCACACAGATGCACGAGTACCCAGCTAGTTATCCACGCACGGGGCTTCGACCTCCTCTCAGCTACGTAAGCACCCTGTGATCCAGGCCACCCATCCAGCAGTAGAATATTTCACCGTATAAAACTTTTATGGAGGCGATTGCATGTTCATAGGCAAACAGACTCTGGGCAATGCTGCAATAGATTTCCCTGACTGTGAAAATTTGGTGACACCAAAATGGAAAAGTGGACAATGGGTGTTTAAACCACCCAACACCGGACGGCAACATTGATGATGCGCGAGAGGTAGACATCACGGGAAACACTGCCGAAAGTGTTTGTTCTGTAGACTTAAGTGCCACTGTCACAGCTGTACAACCGGAGTTTTGTGACAACGTACAGGGACGTACAATGCACAGCAGCGGGGAGACCGGCAGTGGAGACGCGCAGCCTCCCAAGTACTTGGCACGTCACCCCGGCCAGGCAGCATCTACAAAATCAAACCCCACAACATTTACAAAACCAAAGAACAAAACGCTAAAACGTACGTTCTAGGCATGTGACGAATCATTAACGTTGTTTCTTATGCGTACGATGTACACATCGAATCTTGTGTGTAAGAATCGATTACTGACGAGATATGCAAATTATATTCTAAATATATGCTTATTTTAAATTTAAGCTACTGAAGTGAACGAGGGATGTATGAATGAATTAGACCAAATACAAATAATAATAATAAATACAAACGGCAGCACAAATATATTTTTAAAAAGATTCTTGAAGCAAATCACAATTTATAAATCACGCATAGAACCACGCGTGCGGGAATTTTCTATTATTTATGCAAATTGTATTAATATTATATGCTTGCATTCGTCTTTTGAAATTACTATTAAAAATTAGAACAGTCAAAATAAAGACGGAAAAAATAATGGAAACAAAGGCTTCTTAAATCAAAACGGCAACTCAAAATCATGACCAGTCATCGAGTTGTGGCGTGGATTAATTGTTGCGCGTCCAGCAGGCGAGCAATGTGTTCTGCTGGACCAATGTATTCACTGGACATCTGTGAAAAAGAGCTTCACAGCTCACCAGATTCCTCCTCCAGTCTGAATAAAGATTTTGATTCTGATTCTGCAAAATCCTCGAAAGGTCCTGCAGGTGGCACTCTTGTGTGGTTAACGAAAGTGTGCGTTGAAAACACCTACTGCAAAAATAAAACATTATTTATTTACCCAGGAGAGCCACGCTTGAGTTGCATCGACTCTTTTTCAGAAGGGTCCTGCCGCTGCATTGGATTTTTATTTGAAGACGTTTTTAGGCAATTACTGAGTGTACTCTTTGGTTCTATTCGGTAAAGTCGGTAAAGTCACCTATGTGACTTTACCGAATAGAACCAAAGAGTATGGATCCTTGCAGTCACGAAAGCTTTAAATCTAGAATTACTGAGTGTGTTTATTGGACGTGGGAAGAGCCGGAGCACCCGGAGAAAACCGACACAGGCCAGGGGGCAACAACACGATCAGTAAGAAAGTTATTTCAAACCAAGTAATATAAAAAAATAGTTTTGACAATTATACAAAACAAATGAGAATAAACACAACTGAAAAACTAAACTTTGCTTGAGACTACCTTAATACGGAACCCATTATATATATACAGTAAAACCTTGGATTGCGAGCATTATTCGTTCCGGAAACGTGTTTGTAATCCAAAGCACTCGTATATCAAAGCACTCGTATATCAGTTGTGATCACGTGACGCTCGGAAGACAAAGCGTATACGTACTACTCGTATTGCAAGACCCTCGCTCGTTTATCAAATTAATATTGATTTAACATTTTTGCTCGTCTTGCAAAACACTCGCAGACCAAGTTACTCGCAATCCAAGATTTTACTGTATCTGGTTTCCATGGGACAGTCAACTCAAGTTGAGTCGAGTTTAAAGTCCCGTCGTAATATATTTCACGTTACCTTGTTTCCATGAGACGGTTAATTCAAGTTGAATTGTATCTAGTTTCCAACTCAAGTTGATTTGACATTACAGTCCATGGCAAGCTGGGTATTTGTCCCAAGTCAAGACCCAAGTGCCACAATGGGCAATTGTGACCAGTCCGCCGTTTATCTAAATTTGGTGACCCAGGCAGCTCTTGGAAATTAGGCGATCCTTGTCTCTTGAATTCCTAGGTGGTAAACCAAATACATTTGAACTTGAATCCTACGGCTTACCGTGGTCTGCCACTGCTGGTCTACTTGTCGGCAGGCTCATCGGCCAGCGGGAGATGCCAATCCACGGGAGGTCTGCTTCGCAGCTTCCACACGGGCGGGTGTTTGCGCTGCTCGGCAACTCGGTCCCGTTCATTTGCCCGCAACGCTTCCTAACGACGCGACGGCACAGGGGACACCACGCAACCGCAAACAGCTCAGTTAAAGCACACTGGCACGAAAACTCAACATTTATTATTGAGTCAATCCACACCTCCAAATTGTTACAATTAATCGAATTGCTGGGGTAAGGGAAGTTAATCATTACATATGTAGGGGTGCTATGGGGAATAAACACATGGCACGGGAAGGTGTGGTTCACCCACACCTTGGTGGCTACAACAACGTCCGCTAAGGCTCCAGTGGGTATAAAGTGCGGGGAGCCAGGGAGCTCGGGGCAGAGTGTGGGGCCCGAGGCTGAAGCAACCAGTGAAGAAAGAAGGCCAGCTAGGTGAGACCCTGGGACTCCTGTGTCCGCTGCCCTTTTCAGGGCCGACACAGCAAGCCAGTGGTGCGGCCCCAGAGTCAGAGTCCTTCTAAGGGCCGGTCTGGTCGGCGGGGTGCCGAGATCTGTGCCTAACCAGGGCCGGATCTGATAGCCTCCCTTAGAGCCCTACCAGGAGGAACTGGGAGCCTAGAGCTTAGGCTAGAGAGCCTGGGGTGTGTTCCTGAGTTATACGGGTGGAGGGGCCGCTACCCCTTCTAGTGTAACCCTTGTTAAGGTTGAAATAAATAGTGCTGCTTCTATTCTGCCGTCTCCGTGTCCTGGAACCCACTACAACTGGTGTCAGAAGTGGTCTTAAAATGGACACAAGGAGTACAAACCCATCACAGGAACCCCAGGAGGAGGAAGGCTCGCCTGGGATTGCGCCAGAGGCCGCGGCCGACGATCCTGGGATGTCCCAGACGCCCCAACAGCAGCCGCCGCTGGAGGAGTGGCCGCCGATGGAGGACGGGTTGCAGGCGGCTCACTCTCGACTGGCTGAGCTGCTATATGCCGCGGCTTCCACGCTGGAGGAAATCAACCGCGCGGGGCTGCGGGCGCAAAGGCGGCAGAGAGACGAACGCCGTTCAACGGCCATTCCCGCCGAAACACAGCCACCAGATTTCGGATTTGCCGCCATGACAGTGTTCGCCACGGCGATTGGAGGGTCGCAGCTCCACGTGGACGCTGTGGGCCAATCAGCGGTGGTGACGTCATCACCAACGGACGCCCGCTGTCAGGACCAATCGGCGGGCGCATCGTCATCACCTGCGCGACCGCCGATGGGTGTCCCCAGCTCCTCAAACACCGGTGGAGAGGCCGGAAATGGCGCGCGGCACCTCTCAGAGACGAAGCCATCGTTTCAACAACGCCTGCCGGTGTTGAAGGAGTTCGTTTCAGACGGCGGCGACTGGGGGGCCTTTCAACGCCGCTTTCTCGCTCATCAAGAGATGGCCGGCTGGACGGACGAGGCGTTGAGTGCGCTACCGGCCATGCTGGACGATGACGCCCTTGCTACGCTCATCACAGCTCCCAGATCAACGCGATCTACGCTACAGTCGGCGCTCCAGGTCCTCACCATAGTCTACGGGCCATCGTCGGACTGCCGCAAACTCCTCCACGAGCGGTGCAGGGGCCAGAAGGAGCCACCGCTGGCGTATCGCACGGCTCTCCTGGCCCTCGCAAAAGCGGCTTTCCCGTGGATGGACGGCGAAGGGGTGGACGCGATGGTGACGGAGAAGCTCCTGGCGTTGGCCCAGGAGCTACAGATCGTCATCGTCGCAGAGGACGACGCGGACATGTGCTCCTTGCGGGCAGCAAGACACATCCACGCGCACCTGATAGCGCAGCGTCGATCACCTCTCGTCCCCAAGGGCGCAGCTGCGGTGTGCGCTGGGACGCCGACCACCCCCCCCTCCGAGGAGGTCTTCGCGGCGGGTCGCCCGGTGGAGTGGAGATCCGGAGGGAGGCCGGCTCGGACCACACCGGATCGCCAGGAGCACCCCAAGGCGCTCATCACGTGCTACAACTGTGGCCGCAAGGGCCACGTGGCTGCGGAATGCCGGGCGCCTCGTCAACGACAGCCGGGACGGTCGGACGGCGCTCCAGCCTACAGGCCTCCGCATCGCAACCCGGCAAGTCGCGGCACCCCACATGCTCGGCCTGTGCACACACCTGTCCCCACCTCGCGCGTTTCGGTGTACGGGCCTCGGGGTACGCCCATTGGTTTGTTGGGTGGCGGCGGGGTCGAGAGGATGCTCGGGCCGGGGCAGTGGACGGAATTGGCCCACCGCATTGTTGCTGCGTCGGCAGGCTCGTCCGTGGTCGCGGGTCGCATTGACGGGGTCGAGGTGCGTATCCTCGTCGATACGGGAGCTTCGGCGACCATTGTGTCAGACTTGATTTATAATATTCTTCCCGTTCAAAGCCGCCCCTTGCTCCCAGTCACCGTTCCGTGTTACGCAGCGAACGGGGGTTCGCTGGGTATCATAGGCCAAATTCGAGCACAAATTTGCATTGGTGATATGAAACTCTCCGGGCCGATATTAGTCTCGTCCTCGCTGGCGGTTCCGTGCTTGTTGGGGACGGACTTTTTGGGCAAAATGCCGATTAAAATTCTAATTGATCAGGGTTGCATCGAGCTTCCCTCGGGCCGACGGGTAACATGCCTGCCTTCCCCTGTCACCTCAAGGGCAGCGTGCGCGTCGATACAAGCGTTCGTCACTCGGACGGTGCGTGTACCTCCCGGGCGCAAATGCTCGTGCCCCTTCGCTTGCGTCGGCCTTTCGTGCCCGGTGTTCTGGACCAGGGAATTCTGTTAGGACCCTCGAGGGCTGGGGAAAATGGGCTGGAATAGGTGGCCGCTCAAACGCTCGTTAAGGGGAGCGATGACCCGTTTATCCTCGTCCATAACGTTGGCGTACAGACGGCCGTCGTTCCTCAGGGAACTGTGCTCGCGCACGCGACACCGGTCCCCGTGGTAGACACGGTTATGGGTAATGTGGGGACCGATCCTCTGGCTCAACCACATTCTGAGGGGGACGATAGTTGGATGGACACACTATGTTCGGGCACGAGTGATCTGTCCGACTCCCAGCGTGCCGGCCTACGCACCCTTCTGACGGAATTTTCCGATGTTTTTAGTAAACACAAATATGACATTGGGTGCACGAAATTGTTGCGTCACCACATTGACACGGGTGACAATGCCCCGGTACGCCAGAATCCTTTTCGGTTAAGTCCGGCCGAAAAAGATCATGTCAAATCGGCAGTGGATGACATGCTGGCTGCAGACATTATAGCCCCTTCCACCAGTCCATGGGGAGCACCCATAGTGCTTGTCAAAAAGCACGATGGGTCCTTGCGATTCTGTGTGGATTTTCGCCGCCTTAATAAGATCTCCGTGGCCGACGCGTATCCACTTCCCCGGATGGACGAATCTCTGGATGCTCTGGCTGGCGCACGTTTTTTTTCTACGTTGGACTTGTTATCCGGATTCTGGCAACTCCCATTGGATGATGAGTCCAAGCCAAAGACTGCGTTTCGCACACCACACGGCCTATTCCAATTTAACCGGTTACCTATGGGATTACACTCCGCTCCGGCGACATTTCAGCGCCTTATGGAACTGGTTTTGGCTGGCTTACAGTGGAACGTCTGTTTGATCTATCTGGATGACGTCATCGTGTTCAGCAAGACATTTGACAAACACCTTTTGCGCTTGCGCGCCGTGTTCCTCAAAATGCGTGCTGCGAATTTGAAATTTAAGCCGCAAAAGTGCCACCTGCTACGGGAATCCGTACGCTATTTGGGGCACATCGTCAGCCGCTCGGGCATATCCACCGATCCCGCAAAGACGCAGTGTGTCAACTCCTGGCCAACCCCCACCTCGGTGGCTGAGGTCAGGAGTTTCATTGGATTTGCGTCTTATTACCGGCGGTTTGTCGCGGATTTCGCGACCATTGCTAAGCCCTTACACGCTCTGACGGCGAAGGGAGTGAAATTTCACTGGGGCCAGGAGGAGGAGGTCGCTTTTTGTTCCCTTCGCGACGCTCTCGTGCGGGCCCCTCCATTGAGCTACCCCGATTTTTCGGAACCCTTCCTGCTCGATACAGACGCCAGCAATATGGGCATTGGGGGTGTGCTCTCACAGGTGATCTGTGGTGTGGAACGCGTCGTGGCTTATGGCAGTAGGGTTTTGTCTCCGGCGGAACAGAGATACTGCGTCACGCGTCGGGAACTCTTGGCTATTGTATTTTTTATGCAACAGTATCGCCCATACCTGTACGGTCGGCATTTCACTGTCCGTACGGACCATGCGGCATTACAATATGCCTTGCGGGTGACACAGCCTTCGGGGCAATTGTCCCGATGGCTCGAAATCCTTCAGGATTATGATTTCACGACCACATATCGGAAGGGTGCTCGGCACACTAATGCGGATGCGCTGTCTCGCCTGCCGCCCGCCTCAGATTGCGCTTGTCTCAGGGGATCGGGGCGTTGTAAGCCGCCAGAGGATAGCCCCCCCTTAGATATCCCGGTTCTCGCTGCTGCCACTGAGGACCCCTTGCCTGAGGGTCCTGTCGGGGAGGGAGGTGCGGACTCCTTGCTGGGGTTGTCCGTTGCGGAATGGGGGCGCCTCCAGATGGAGGACGCATCCCTCCTCGCGTTGCGTCGTCGCGCAGGGGGTTCCGTGCGGGGGGTCGCGGGGATTGATTCGTACGGGCTGCTCCAGGGGCTCCTAATGCATTGGGATGGGAGGGCCTGCCGTCACAGGCTTGTGGTGCCATCCGCTTTGTGGGGTAAGGCCGTTTGGGCCGCACACGAGCGACTTTTGCACCTGGGGACCCACAAGACCCTTGCCGTGCTCCAGCTGGATTTCTTCTGGCCGGGTATGGCAAGGGATGTGGATGACCTCCTGGGTGCATGCACTCAGTGCGCCCAACGAAAACCACCAGCGAAAGGCGCCTGCCCACCGCTACAATCTATCACGGTCTCTCGGGTTAACGAACTCGTCGCACTCGATATATTGGGGCCCTTCCCTGCGACCCCTAGGGGTAACAAGTACCTGCTGGTTGGCGTGGAATATTTCACCCGATGGCCTATGGCATGGCCTCTTGCTAACCAGTCAGCAGCAGCCGTTGCCGAGGCCTTTGTCCAGGGCTATGTCCTCGACAAGGGTGCTCCCGAACGGCTGCTGACTGACCAAGGGAAGAACTTCTCTGGCGTCCTTCTGCACGGTGTGCGCTTCTTGGTACGAAAAAGATTCGCACTTCCCCCTATCACCCACAAACCGATGGCATGGTGGAGTGGCTGCATAGGACGCTCACATCTATGTTGTGTCACCAGGTGTGTGACTCCCAGACCGATTGGGACCTTCACATTCCGGGGGTTTTGGCCGCCTATATGGCTCCTCACGCGGCAACCGGCTTCTCGCCGTTCTTTTTGATGTACGGTCGCGACGTTGACCCACCAATTGCGACTCAGCTCCGCGTCTCGGAAACCAGCAGAAAATCGAAATTGGCCGACCACGTTAAATTTAATATCCTGAGGTTGACCGAGGCGCGGGAGGCAGCGGCCCAAAACTCTTCCTCTCGGCAGAAGGCCAACGAGAGGTTGCGATCGCGCCAATCACGCACACATGCGTGGAAGCCAGGCGATCAAGCCTGGCTGCACTGCCCTCAGGCGCCGTTGGCGACCTCGGCGAAATTGTTGCGGCCTTGGAGGGGCCCTGTGGTTATTGTGAAGGTTATGCGGCCGCAGTGCGTTCGTATCCAGTGGGGGAAACGCCGCTGGTACGTACACCCCTCGCGTCTGAAGCCGTTTGTGGCGCCGCGCGTCCCTCCACCACATTACACAGGCCGAGCATGTGATGTGTCCGCTGACTCCCGGACGGCGTCTTCGTCACCTGCCCTTGATGCTTCGCTAACTGTTCCACCTTCAGGCGCCTCAAGAATGACGGCTTCCAGCGCGCCTGCGCCACCCGGTGGGGACGGAGTTTGCCCTTCCGGGGTGACGGAAGACGGTGCACCTGCACAGCCGGTGCCCACTGCTGGGCCGACCGGACCCTCCCCCTACGATGGACCCGCAAATCGGACTCGCGCCAAAATGCGCCGCTTGTTGTAATAATGGTTCTTGTTACTCTTGTTGTTCACTGTTAAGTTTTCTTGCTGCATTGATGGGGGGGGGTACAATGTATATGTGTATATAGTGTAATTTTGTATAGGTGGGTTGGGTTATTTATTGGGGTGTTCGTTCTTATGAGGCACGCACGGGTAGGGTTTGTTGTGTTTATTGTTCGAGTATTGTTGCAGCCGGGACGGCTGCGGGTTACACGGGAGGGGGTGATGTAGGGGTGCTATGGGGAATAAACACATGGCACGGGAAGGTGTGGTTCACCCACACCTTGGTGGCTACAACAACGTCCGCTAAGGCTCCAGTGGGTATAAAGTGTGGGGAGCCAGGGAGCTCGGGGCAGAGTGTGGGGCCCGAGGCTGAAGCAACCAGTGAAGAAAGAAGGCCAGCTAGGTGAGACCCTGGGACTCCTGTGTCCGCTGCCCTTTTCAGGGCCGACACAGCAAGCCAGTGGTGCGGCCCCAGAGCCCCAGAGTCAGAGTCCTTCTAAGGGCCGGTCTGGTCGGCGGGGTGCCGAGATCTGTGCCTAACCAGGGCCGGATCTGATAGCCTCCCTTAGAGCCCTACCAGGAGGAACTGGGAGCCTAGAGCTTAGGCTAGAGAGCCTGGGGTGTGTTCCTGAGTTATACGGGTGGAGGGGCCGCTACCCCTTCTAGTGTAACCCTTGTTAAGGTTTAAATAAATAGTGCTGCTTCTATTCTGCCGTCTCCGTGTCCTGGAACCCACTACACATACCTATAGAGTACTCAATTGTGCTATTTATCTGAAGTGTCTTTTTTCCCTCATACATTTTACGTTTCTCAGAAACCATGCCTTTTTTTCATTTCCTTCGATTTTATGAAGGGAGAGTTAAATTTTACACAGCAAGATTTTTTTTTTATCGAACATTACACGCCACTCCCCCCTTTCCAAAAAGGCTTTTGTGTCTGCTTGCAAATAAAGTTAACGATGAGATGTTGACACCAGGAGGGATGACATCACACATAACTCACTCTCGCAGGGTGGCACACAATTCAAACATCTCACCCTCTGCCGCGGTGAATGTTGGTGGTGGCCATTCGCTTAGTCACTACGCTGCCCCTCAACCATCATCTGAAACTCCCTGCCCAGACAAATCTGCCTACTTGTCCCCTCTCTCTGTTTGCTTTTAAATCACTCCTCAAAACATTCCTCTTCCACTCAATGCCTTTACAACCCCTTCATTGCTTCCCATCTCTTCTTCCCTGGCTCCGGTAACCGACTCAAGTCATCCCATTTTTCCTCCTTTGCATTTCTGTGCTCCGACATTTTGTTACGTTACGGCCGCATAATGAACGAAAGCTGTGATCGTGGAGTCTGAGCAACTGACGGCGGTTGTTCGTGACAACTGATTGACAACTTTCGAGATGAGAAATGTTACGAATGGGTGACCATCGGAGGAGACCCCCACTACCTACGAAACCCACTTCCATAAGAACAATGCTGCTTATTTTCAGCGCAGGTGTTATTTTCCAAAATAAAACTAACATAACTACAGAGATGGTTTAAAAAAAAAAACGGGGGGGGGGTTGTATTCCTTGCAGAAACCTTCTTGAAGTTATTAACTAAACTCGCGCAATTTACAGTTCTAGTGCAAGCTGGCCACATATTTTGCCTGGTTTTAACAAACGCCACATACACAACCCCAACAACCATGACCACTATGATTCAGATGTGGCTGAGATGGGTTGACTATACTTTTTATAAATGAGGCGAGACATCATTATGATTCATTGACTATTTTGTAAACGCTGGGTTACCTGCTGCATTGTGAAAAATGTTAGTCAGTTTTATTTTTTATCATCAGCCAGGATCTATTCACTACGAGATGAAGGTCTCCCAAAGACATCGTCATCGTCCATGGTCACACACGCTCCAAACCCACACACGGGACACAAACACAAGACGCACACAAACATAGGACACATTCACACGGAACATACACTTGGAATTGAGACACACACACATACAGGACACAAACGGGCCACACAAATATAGCACACACATGCAGGCCATAGGAACAAACAAAACACCCACGGAAAAGATCACACAAGAGAGACACACACACGGGTCACACGCACACTTGACCACTAACTAATGAGACACACACACGTCAAACAAAGGACACACACACTGCTGCCCTGCCTTGGCCCGCTCGTTGCCGGTCGTCTCCCACTCGCGACACAGGTCCAGGTCTCGTCCCCAGTGACTGCAGTTCGGCGTCTCCCCGTACACGTACACATGGTGGAACCGGTTGCTCAGGCTCTTGCAGAGTCTCAGCTCGGCTCGGTACATTTCGCAACTCCGCGGCGGCTGCGAACGACAACGTGGGGGGGGGGGGGGGGGTCACGAGTGCGACTTTGATTAAGACGTGGTTAGAGGGGACGGTGTTAAGTTGCAGGGTTCAATGTCTGGCTTTGGTTTTTAAGTTTATAAGTAAAAAAGGGGTTTGGTCTGAGTTAAGTCCGCGGTGTGAGGTTCCAAAGGCTGGGTTGGAGACGACGGTTAAGGCTGGGTTCAGTCACGGTGTTAGGGCTGGGTTCAGTCACGGTGTTAGGGCTGGGTTCAGTCACGGTGTTAGGGCTGGGTTCAGTCACGGTGTTAGGGCTGGGTTCAGTCACGGTGTTAGGGCTGGGTTCAGTCACGGTGTTAGGGCTGGGTTCAGTCACGGTGTTAGGGCTGGGTTCAGTCACGGTGTTAGGGCTGGGTTCAGTCACGGTGTTAGGGCTGGGTTCAGTCACGGTGTTAGGGCTGGGTTCAGTCACGGTGTTAGGGCTGGGTTCAGCCACGGTGTTAGGGCTGGGTTCAGTCACGGTGTTAGGGCTGGGTTCAGTCACGGTGTTAGGGCTGGGTTCAGTCACGGTGTTAGGGCTGGGTTCAGTCACGGTGTTAGGGCTGGGTTCAGTCACGGTGTTAGGGCTAGGTTCAGTCACGGTGTTAGGGCTGGGTTCAGTCACGGTGTTAAGGCTGGGTTCAGTCACGGTGTTAGGGCTGGGTTCAGTCACGGTGTTAGGGCTGGGTTCAGTCACGGTTGTTAGGGCTGGGTTCAGTCACGGTGTTAGGGCTGGGTTCAGTCACGGTGTTAGGGCTGGGTTCAGTCACGGTGTTAGGGCTGGGTTCAGTCACGGTGTTAAGGCTGGGTTCAGTCACGGTGTTAGGGCTGGGTTCAGTCACGGTGTTAGGGTTGGGTTCAGTCACGGTGTTAGGGCTGGGTTCAGTCACGGTGTTAGGGCTGGGTTCAGTAACGGTGTTAGGGCTGGGTTCAGTCACGGTGTTAGGGCTGGGTTCAGTCACGGTGTTAGGGTTGGGTTAGAGACGACGGTTAAGGCTGGGTTCAGTCACGGTGTTAGGGCCTGGTTACAAACCAGGTTACGTCCAAAGTCAGACCTGGGTTAAGCGCAGTTAGAGCTGGGTTAGTTATCGTGTTAGACCCGAGATAGAGATAGTCTTAGACCCTAGTTAGAGCTGGGTTAGTTCTCGTGTTAGATCCGAGATAGAGATAGTCTTAGACCCTAGTTAGAGCTGGGTTAGGTCTGGTGTTAGACCCGTGATAGGGATAGTATTAGACCCAAGCTAGAGCCGGGTTAGGTCTGGTGTTAGACCCGTCATAGGGACAGTATTAGACCCTAGTTAGAGCTGGGTTAGGTCTGGTGTTAGACCCGTGATAGGGACAGTATTAGACCCTAGTTAGAGCTGGGTTAGGTCTGGTGTTAGACCCGTGATAGGGATAGTATTAGACCCGAGCTAGAGCTGGGTTAGGTCTGGTGTTAGACCCGTGATAGGGATAGTATTAGACCCAAGCTAGAGCCAGGTTAGGTCTGGTGTTAGACCCGTGATAGGGATAGTATTAGACTCTAGTTAGAGCTGGGTTAGGTCTGGTGTTAGACCTGAGATAGGGATAGTATTAGACCCTAGTTAGACCCGGGTTAGGTCAGGTGTTAGACCCGTGATAGGGATAGTATTAGACCCTAGTTAGAGCTGGGTTAGGTCTGGTGTTAGACCCGTGATAGGGACAGTATTAGACCCTAGTTAGAGCTGGGTTAGGTCTGGTGTAAGACCCGTGATAGGGATAGTATTAGACTCGAGCTAGAGCTGGGTTAGGTCTGGTGTTAGACCCGTGATAGGGATAGTATTAGACCCAAGCTAGAGCCGGGTTAGGTCTGGTGTTAGACCCGTGATAGGGATAGTATTAGACCGTAGTTAGAGCTGGGTTAGGTCTGGTGTTAGACCCGTGATAGGGATAGTATTAGACCCTAGTTAGAACTGGGTTAGGTCTGGTGTTAGACCCGTGATAGGGATAGTATTAGACCCTAGTTAGAGCTGGGTTAGGTCTGGTGTTAGACCCGTGATAGGGATAGTATTAGACCCTAGTTAGAGCTGGGTTAGGTCTGGTGTTAGACCCGTGATAGGGATAGTATTAGACCCGAGTTAGAGCTGGGTTAGGTCTCGTATTAGACCTGAGATAGGGATAGTATTAGACCCCAGTTAGAGCTGGGTTAGGTCTCGTATTAGACCCTAGTTAGAGCTGGGTTAGGTCTGGTGTTAGACCCGTGATAGGGACAGTATTAGACCCTAGTTAGAGCTGGGTTAGGTCTGGTGTAAGACCCGTGATAGGGATAGTATTAGACCCGAGCTAGAGCTGGGTTAGGTCTGGTGTTAGACCCGTGATAGGGATAGTATTAGACCCAAGCTAGAGCCGGGTTAGGTCTGGTGTTAGACCCGTGATAGGGATAGTATTAGACCCTAGTTAGAGCTGGGTTAGGTCTGGTGTTAGACCCGTGATAGGGATAGTATTAGACCCTAGTTAGAACAGGGTTAGGTCTGGTGTTAGACCCGTGATAGGGATAGTATTAGACCCTAGTTAGAGCTGGGTTAGGTCTGGTGTTAGACCCGTGATAGGGATAGTATTAGACCCTAGTTAGAGCTGGGTTAGGTCTGGTGTTAGACCCGTGATAGGGATAGTATTAGACCCGAGTTAGAGCTGGGTTAGGTCTCGTATTAGACCTGAGATAGGGATAGTATTAGACCCCAGTTAGAGCTGGGTTAGGTCTCGTATTAGACCCCAGTTAGAGCCGGGTTAGGTCAGGTGTTAGACCCGTGATAGGGATAGTATTAGACCCGAGTTAGAGCTGGGTTAGGTCTGGTGTTAGACCCGTGATAGGGATAGTATTAGACCCTAGTTAGAGCTGGGTTAGGTCTGGTGTTTGACCCGTGATAGGGATAGTATTATACTCTAGTTAGAGCCGGGTTAGGTCTGGTGTTAGACCCATGATAGGGATAGTATTAGACCCTAGTTAGAGCTGGGTTAGGTCTGGTGTTAGACCCGTGATAGGGATAGTATTAGACCCTAGTTAGAGCCGGGTTAGGTCTGGTGTTAGACCCATGATAGGGATAGTATTAGACCCTAGTTAGAGCTGGGTTAGGTCTGGTGTTAGACCCGTGATAGGGATAGTATTAGACCCTAGTTAGAGCTGGGTTAGGTCTGGTGTTAGACCCGTGATAGGGATAGTATTAGACCCTAGTTAGAGCTGGGTTAGGTCTGGTGTTAGACCCGTGATAGGGATAGTATTAGACCCGAGTTAGAGCTGGGTTAGGTCTCGTATTAGACCTGAGATAGGGATAGTATTAGACCCCAGTTAGAGCTGGGTTAGGTCTCGTATTAGACCGTAGCTAGAGCTAGGTTGCGTCTCGTGTTAGACCCGTGATAGGGATAGTATTAGACCCGAGTTAGAGCTGGGTTAGGTCTGGTGTTAGACCCGTGACAGGGATAGTATAAGACCGTAGTTAGAGCCGGGTTAGGTCTGGTGTTAGACCCGTGATAGGGATAGTATTAGACCCTAGTTAGAGCTGGGTTAGGTCTGGTGTTAGACCCGTGATAGGGATAGTATTAGACCCTAGTTAGAACTGGGTTAGGTCTGGTGTTAGACCCGTGATAGGGATAGTATTAGACCCTAGTTAGAGCTGGGTTAGGTCTGGTGTTAGACCCGTGATAGGGATAGTATTAGACCCTAGTTAGAGCTGGGTTAGGTCTGGTGTTAGACCCGTGATAGGGATAGTATTAGACCCGAGTTAGAGCTGGGTTAGGTCTCGTATTAGACCTGAGATAGGGATAGTATTAGACCCCAGTTAGAGCTGGGTTAGGTCTGGTGTTAGACCCGTGATAGGGATAGTATTAGACCCTAGTTAGAACTGGATTAGGTCTGGTGTTAGACCCGTGATAGGGATAGTATTAGACCCTAGTTAGAGCTGGGTTAGGTCTGGTGTTAGACCCGTGATAGGGATAGTATTAGACCCGAGTTAGAGCTCGGTTAGGTCTCGTATTAGACCTGAGATAGGGATAGTATTAGACCCTAGTTAGAGCTGGGTTAGGTCTGGTGTTAGACCCGTGATAGGGATAGTATTAGACCCTAGTTAGAGCTGGGTTAGGTCTGGTGTTAGACCCGTGATAGGGATAGTATTAGACCCGAGTTAGAGCTGGGTTAGGTCTCGTATTAGACCTGAGATAGGGATAGTATTAGACCCCAGTTAGAGCTGGGTTAGGTCTGGTGTTAGACCCGTGATAGGGATAGTATTAGACCCTAGTTAGAACTGGATTAGGTCTGGTGTTAGACCCGTGATAGGGATCGTATTAGACCCTAGTTAGAGCTGGGTTAGGTCTGGTGTTAGACCCGTGATAGGGATAGTATTAGACCCGAGTTAGAGCTCGGTTAGGTCTCGTATTAGACCTGAGATAGGGATAGTATTAGACCCCAGTTAGAGCTGGGTTAGGTCTCGTATTAGACCCTAGTTAGAGCCGGGTTAGGTCAGGTGTTAGACCCGTGATAGGGATAGTATTAGACCCGAGTTAGAGCTGGGTTAGGTCTGGTGTTAGACCCGTGATAGTATTAGACCCTAGTTAGAGCTGGGTTAGGTCTGGTGTTAGACCCGTGATAGGGATAGTATTAGACCCTAGTTAGAACTGGGTTAGGTCTGGTGTTAGACCCGTGATAGGGATAGTATTAGACCCTAGTTAGAGCTGGGTTACGTCTGGTGTTAGACCTGAGATAGGGATAGTATTAGACCCTAGTTAGAACTGGATTAGTTATCGTGTTAGACCCTAGCTAGAGCTGGGTTGCGTCTCGTGTTAGACCCGTGATAGGGATAGTATTAGACTCTAGTTAGAGCTGGGTTAGGTCTGGTGTTAGATCCGTGATAGGGATAGTATTAGACCCTAGTTAGAGCCGGGTTAGGTCTGGTGTTAGACCCGTGATAGGGATAGTATTAGACCCTAGTTAGAGCTGGGTTAGGTCTGGTGTTAGACCCGTGATAGGGATAGTATTAGACCCTAGTTAGAACTGGGTTAGGTCTGGTGTTAGACCCGTGATAGGGAGAGTATTAGACCCTAGTTAGAGCTGGGTTAGGTCTGGTGTTAGACCCGTGATAGGGATAGTATTAGACCCTAGTTAGAACTGGGTTAGGTCTGGTGTTAGACCCGTGATAGGGATAGTATTAGACCCTAGTTAGAGCTGGGTTACGTCTGGTGTTAGACCTGAGATAGGGATAGTATTAGACCCTAGTTAGAACTGGATTAGTTCTCGTGTTAGACCCTAGCTAGAGCTGGGTTGCGTCTCGTGTTAGACCCGTGATAGGGATAGTATTAGACTCTAGTTAGAGCTGGGTTAGGTCTGGTGTTAGATCCGTGATAGGGATAGTATTAGACCCTAGTTAGAGCCGGGTTAGGTCTGGTGTTAGACCCGTGATAGGGATAGTATTAGACCCTAGTTAGAGCTGGGTTAGGTCTGGTGTTAGACCCGTGATAGGGATAGTATTAGACCCTAGTTAGAACTGGGTTAGGTCTGGTGTTAGACCCGTGATAGGGAGAGTATTAGACCCTAGTTCGAGCTGGGTTAGGTCTGGTGTTAGACCCGTGATAGGGATAGTATTAGACCCTAGTTAGAGCTGGGTTAGGTCTGGTGTTAGACCCGTGATAGGGATAGTATTAGACCCTAGTTAGAGGTGGGTTACGTCTGGTGTTAGACCTGAGATAGGGATAGTATTAGACCCTAGTTAGAGCTGGGTTAGTTCTCGTGTTAGACCCCAGCTAGAGCTGGGTTGCGTCTCGTGTTAGACCCGTGTTAGGTCTCGTGTTAGACCCGTGTTCGACCCTAGTTAGACCTGGGTTAGGTCTCGTGTTAGACCCGTGATAGGTCTTATGTTAGACCCGAGCTAGAGCTGGGTTAGGTCTCGTGTTAGACCCGTGATAGGGATAGTATTAGACCCAAGCTAGAGCTGGGTTAGGTCTCGTGTTAGACCCGTGATAGGTCTCGTGTTAGACCCGTGTTAGACCCCAGCTAGAGCTGGGTTGCGTCTCGTGTTAGAGCCGCGTCAGATCGCTCGTTGAACCCGGGCCGAGTGTCGTGTTGGGGGCCCTCCTCGCTCCCACCACCACCACCCCTCAAGCGTCCACATTCAAACACCGAATCGCCGAACGCGAGACAACTTAACACCCCGCAGGCTCGCAGTGCTGCCGCTGCCGCACGACCCTGAAGGCGCACCGTCCCTGGCACCGCCACCCCGCTTAGGCCGAGACGCGACCCGGCAGCGTTGTGAACCTCGTCGCGTCGTGCCGGGGGGACACTGGTGGCGAGGTTTGTAAATGACGACGTTTTAGCTGCGACCCCGCGACCGGGAGTCGAGAGGGGCCGAGAGGGGTCTAGAGGGACCGAGAGGGGTCGAGGGACCTAGAGGGACCCGAGAGGGGTCTAGAGGGGATCTAAAGGGGTCTAGAGGGACCCTAGAGGGTGTCTAGAGGGACCTAGAGGGGTCTAGAGGGGTCTCGAGGGGCCGCTCACCCTCCAAGACGCCGCCGCCGCCGCGAGGCCTCCGCCGCTGCCGCCCGCCGCCATTGTCGCCTCGCCACGGCCGGAAACAAGCGACGCGAATTTTATCATTATTATTACACATTATTATTACGTATTATAATGTTATGGTAACATAGTATAATAACACATAATATTTTCGTGTTATTATAATATTTACACGATATTAATATATTGTGTAATATATTATAATATATAGAACAGTATTATAATAACATCATACTATAATATGTAATTTTATTATATTAATATATTGTTATTATATGTTATACTATATTAATATATTGTATAATATATAATAATATATTAAAATATCACAATATAGCAACTTATTCATATATATAAATATTTTATTATAATGTATTATCAAAAATAATATATTATTACATAATTGTTTACTTAACTTTTTACATACAATTATATAATTAGAATATTTAATTTTTGATTATTCTTAAAATAATTATTATATTCATTAGAAATATCAGCACCACCGTCAAAACAACATCATCAATAGAGCCGTCTCATTCGCCAATTGACCACAAGCTCAGGGAATCAACTTTTCTTAAAATTGCTAACGTCGGGGTCCAACGTTGCGCTAACGTTAGGACGACGTTGGCATGTTTATTGGGAGTCGATCTGGGGGGCTGTTAATGGTTTATTTTTTCTTTAGGGGTGGGGGGGGGGTCTCTCATTACCCGATGCCAAACATCTCCATTGTTATAGTCACACACTGCTTATTTTAATTCGAGTTGTGTTAATTTACTTTACGTGATACACGAATGGTAGAGTTAAATCAAAGTTAATTCACAATAAAATATTGTTTTCTACCTTCGGCTCATAACTCGTGGTTATAAGCCCCGGTAAATAAGCGACGTCGGATTAACGTTGCACGACGTTGGCCCAACTTTCTCCAACGTTGCCCCAACGTTCCGTGTTTATCAGTGGATGGGAGCCCCCCCATGCCAACTCTCCACTCGCTCTCTCCCTGCCGTCTCTGATAGTTTCCCTGCACGGGGCTGGATGTGTGTGTGACACACAGGGCTGTGTGTGTGTGACACACAGGGCTGTGTGTGTGTGACACACAGGGCTGTGTGTGTGTGACACACAGGGCTGTGTGTGTGTGACACACAGGGCTGTGTGTGTGTGACACACAGGGCTGTGTGTGTGTGACACACAGGGCTGTGTGTGTGTGACACACAGGGCTGTGTGTGTGTGACACACAGGGCTGTGTGTGTGTGACACACAGGGCTGTGTGTGTGTGACACACAGGGCTGTGTGTGTGTGACACACAGGGCTGTGTGTGTGTGACACACAGGGCTGTGTGTGTGTGACACACAGGGCTGTGTGTGTGTGACACACAGGGCTGTGTGTGTGTGACACACAGGGCTGTGTGTGTGACACACAGGGCTGTGTGTGTGACACACAGGGCTGTGTGTGTGTGACACACAGGGCTGTGTGTGTGTGACACACAGGGCTGTGTGTGTGTGACACACAGGGCTGTGTGTGTGTGACACACAGGGCTGTGTGTGTGTGACACACAGGGCTGTGTGTGTGTGACACACAGGGCTGTGTGTGTGTGACACACAGGGCTGTGCTGGCAGAGCTCTGCAAGGCTGCGTGCAGCTTGCCGTGTGCACTGCTCGTCGCCTGGTGGCGCTGTTGTCAAACGAATGAGCGACCCCCAGTGGGCTCCGGGTCCGGCGGACTCCTCGTGCCGCGAGACCCCGCGGGCACCCCCCCCTCTCTACCCCCCCCTCCCCCTGGGTGCCACGTGGCGCGAGAGATGGGGGGCACGGGAAGACTGATTCAAAATAGGTTCAGGATAGTGGTTGGCGAATTGGAGGTTGTGTGGTGGTGGTTGTGATGATGATGATGGAGGGTTGTGGTGTTGCTGGTGAGAGTGACGGAAGTTGTGGTCGTGGTTCCGATGGAGTTGGTTGGTGGCGCTGCAGGGCCTGCGGTGGTGGTTCTGGTACACATGGAGACACTCCGTGGGGATACTGCTGTATTCTTGCGAATGGCAGCAGTATGTTCAGGAACTACATGCCAATGTCGAGGTCTGCTGACCGCCACGGCGAGAGGCGTCGTTTTTCTGTACCTCCTCCGCTGAAAGAGCGCAGGCCAGAGTAGGGTTTACGATGTGGTCCTTAATTTGGGTTACTAAGCGGTTACCATACATAGGCATGGTCTGCATCACAGTGTGGAGGTTCCAGTACCCGTGATGCTATTCTAAAGAGTAGGCTGCGCGTGCCGGTAGGACAGCTGCCATCAGCCCCCCCCCCCCGTGCCAATAGATTAAACCACAGCTTAGCAGTGGCAATGGTTGAGCTGCATCGGAGCTTGTTATTGAGATGCCAGGGATATTAAGGACCCGATAAATGCAAATCCACACTTGTTATCGTAAACACATAAAAGCGATATTTTGTGTGTCCAAGTAATCATGTTGTAAAAAAAAATGACGAGAAAAGTTAGTTTTTTTTAATACACAAATAACTGAACTGGTCCACACGAGCTGATGAAGCCAAGCCACTGTACATTGGTAAACCAAAACATGCAAAAATGTATGTCACCTAAATTATAGAAAAAAGCCCTTTCCACCGTGATAATAAGCAAAAGATGTCAAACTTCGTTTCACGTTATTTATATATGTGTGTGTGCGTGTGTTTATAAGAAAAACCCCACGTATACACACGATGGAAGGTCTGTTGCAACACATCTAGATATTTTGTGTGTCCAAGTAATCAAGTTGTAAAAAAAAATGACGAGAAAAGTTAGTTTTTTTTAATACACAAATAACTGAACTGGTCCACACGAGCTGATGAAGCCAAGCCACTGTACATTGGTAAACCAAAACATGCAAAAATGTATGTCACCTAAATTATAGAAAAAATCCCTTTCCACCGTGGTAATAAGCAAAAGATGTCAAACTTCGTTTCACGTTATTTATATATGTGTGTGTGTGTGTGCGTGCGTGTGTTTATAAGAAAAACCCCACGTATACACACGATGGAAGGTCTGTTGCAACACATCTAGACTAAATTGTGTTCACCTTTCACACTTTGACATCGTTAATTCCACTGCCTCGAGTGGTGGGCGTTACCAGAAGATTTCGGATCGCGGTGGTGGTAGAGAGGTGGCGATTGGGGGTGGTGGTGGTGAATTAAAGGTCACCCAAGGACACACGCAGGTTCTTGTAACTGTACACTTACCCCCGTGTACGAATTCAATGCAGGAAATTCAACACACTCAACAACACTGCTTAAAAAAAGAAAAAAAAACACCCTTCGATAACGTTTCGGGCAATGAGTCTTTTTTTATGGCACATACACCAATTGGATGGGCCATTCAGTTGTGTTAATCGTGGTTGTGCGCCTCTGCCAAGGCAGCAGCAGCAGCAGTATCGCCAAAATATTTGCTTAAATACACAGGGTGATCCAGACGCGTTGATGTTTACAATTCTCCCTATTGACGCGGTGGGGTGTCTATACATGGATCACTGTGTGTGTGTGTTAGATTCCGGCCACGGCTAAAATCCATGGCGAGTGAGAGGAGAACAGGTCCTGTGCCCTCACTGCACCAACACGCACTGACCAGCGTGGTGAGGTATGGTCAAACAACCGCCGTTATCGACACGGAGTGGAGGGAGGCGATCATCCAGCAGAGGATTGAGCATAGTCGATAATGATGATTATGACAATGATTGTGTCGCCATGATAAAAAAAATAGCTTATTTGGCACAATTCGCCGCAGGCGGGTCCTAATCCAGTTGTGCAAATTCCACATTCCTATGGCTGGGACCGGTTAATCCATGACAAAACATCCACAATTGGTATGGTGGTTGAAACTATACACAACAAACAACCCAGCCGTGTGTCCGTTTTTCCTCTTCACAAGTTCTGCTCTGACCGTGCTACCGGAGTCGTGTCATGAGGCCCACTTGGAGAGATTCCATTGGAGACTTTCCCAGTAGTCAGTAGCGAATCATTCCTTTTTAGGCAACGGCCCGCGGATGGAGACATCCCAGAACTAAATTCTGAGATCCGTTCAAGTGGACCTTTAAATCCACAAGACACCAAATAACCGGTCCAGAGTTGTTGCACTCCCCGAAGGCTGTGTGGGTGGAGGGAAAGTGTAAAATAAAGTTTATATATATGGAGAAAGATTATCTGCTTATTTTTCTATCTCTAATTATTTATCTTGAACCCACGAGATGGCAAAGGCGAATCGTCTCATTCGCTCGTGCCAGACACGTGTCCCATGGGTCGCAGTCAACCCCAACAATCATGTTAATTCTAAGAAACGCGTAACACATTTTATGCTGCCGAAGTAAGGGGGAAATCTAAACTTTACGTAATGTGTTTTTGAGTGCAGTCATTGGTAACCCGACTGAGACCACAAACTCGTTACGCTTGATAACCCGATCTAACCATGGGCGGTTGAATTCGGATTTTAACTTTGGACTCTAGGTCTCCAACACGGCCATTATGAACCCCCCTGAGACAGGGAGAGAGACACAGGGCTTGAACTCAGAATCTGAACAATGCTGAATCATGGTCTGCCATCCCCAGGGCTTAGACCCAAGATCCCCAACAATCGGGCAGGTGGTTTCTCACATGGCTATGATGAACCCCACTTAGAACCTGGTTCGACATCAGCGACACCGACTCAATCTCTCTGAACGGTGCCGAGCCGCCATCCCACGCCTCCCACACGCTCATTCCTCGGATGCCCGGGTGGACCTAAGGTAAAAATAAAATGAAAACCCCCTCCCCCCCCCCCAAATTATTTCGACTTTGTGAGGGCAGTGTCAGCAGATATTTCTCACGCCCATATCAAGCCATTTCTTCCTCTATCATTTGCATAAATCACTCGTCCATTCTTTCCACAACAGCCAGGCCCTTACTGCTGCTGATGCTACTACTTCTGCCGCTACTGCCGCTATTGCTGCCTCTGATTAAACTACTTGTGATGCTGCTGATGTGGCTGCTGTTACTACCATGCGACTGCTGTTGCTAATGCTACTGCTTCTGCTGATGCTACTGCTTCTGATTCAACTATTGCTGCTGATGATACCTCTGAAGCTG